TGAAATATTTCAGCGGATCACAGACAAAGTTTGATATATGTGTTGTAGACTGAAAATTCTTACCTACTCACATCTCATTTAATATTATTAAAAAATCAAACTTAACATAAACACTTTAGGATTCATTCTCGTATTTTGTTAAGATAACTTTACATAGTGAAAGCGAGAGTCATTAAACTGTGAAAATAGTATCGTTTAATTTACAACCTTAAAAGTTTAAGTAAAGGTTCAAATTTCTAATCACTCTAAATGTAATTACGTCATTTTGACAGCTGACAGTTGTGTCATTACTAAGTTTGCGAGTGTAGCTTATGGCGGGAAACAGTTTTCGCTATAAAGGCTGTTACTTGCAAGATAATGCCGATATTGTGGTAATGAACCCATACATATGGTAAAAAAGTTAATACTAGACAACCTAAGAACTATTAAAGTTTATAATCTAGTCTAACATAGATAAGGTACACAAACAGTTATTTATTTAAAACTCCAAGTTTCTTTACATATGTTAAATTTTCTGAATATTTTAACCACATACAAAACAGTAGGTACTATAACTATATTTACCACTATATTATTTGTCATATTAGCTGTCATTCTTTTTTGTTTTCCACCCTCGATTAGACTAATACTAATAAAAAAAACTAATACCAATAGATATTTTCATTTTAACAATGCATACTGTATTTGTTCACAATAACAAGCTCATAGGAACCTACAATTTTATAAATATTCATTTAAATACGAGACAAATCGTGAGAAATTTCTAAAATGTGATATAAATAGTAGGGTTTTGGGTGTTATACGCATGCGTCAATCCCTGGAGCTCATCCCAGAGTTGAAGATCCTTTGTTTCCATCCAGCATCAGTCTGAAGCGGTCTCCCATTAATATATTAAGGCGGGAATCTCGTGAGTACATTTGTTTAAAGTTTTCTTGTTTCCCATTCCCTTGATTACTTTCGATTCAATTCGTGTCTGGGTTTTCATTGTAATTTACTTATAGAAGTTCGTTTGTGTTATGCTTATGTTTAAAATATGAAGATTATATTTAGATATATGTATCAAAATTATTATTTTACAGTTATAAAATAAAATGAAATAGATTCAAAATATATGTGTTAACGATATGTGGCAAAGTATTAAGTGGTGTTTTTTTGTTAAATAATATTAAAAATATATAATTGCTTCTTCAGATATAATTAAAATATATTATTTGATCGAACCGTCATAATTTTCGATCAGAAACAAATTAAAATCCATTTATCTAATAAGTTAGCAAAACTACTCTTTATATAAATGATATTCCTGTTATAATAAATAAACAGAGTATGAAACTAAATTTACGTTATATTAGAAAAACATGCGAAAATTAAAATGCTTAAATAAAAGTCCTCCAGAATTCCACGTATAGCTGAAGAAAGACTAGTTGTTGTTATAAAGACAATAATAGCAACACAGCATTCGTAGCGTCTTAAACAAACATTATAACAAAAAGGTAGTAATTATTTTCTTGAGTTTTCATAGTCTAAATGGTTAATTAAGAAATTCTATTATACTATTTACTGCTTAGAACTGTATTGTTTTAAGTCAGGGTAATTTTATGAAATAGAATCTTGGGTACATTTTTTCACCTCTTATATGTTTTCAATTTCATTTCTATCAGCCTATATATTCTTTCATTCTATATATATAACATATAAGTCTTCCTTTTGAAGCATGTAATTAATTTTGTTATAATCCCCTGGACGTTCAGACTTGATGAGGAAAAATGTTTTTAATGAAAGTCTTCACATTGTTCTCTACAAGTACTAATTGAAGCGAAACTAATGTTGCTCGGATTTACTATGCGTATTTTATTATTGTAAAAACTACATACTCAAGACGTTTCGGTTACTTTTCAGCAATCGTGAACACAGATTTTATTTAGAGATATTAGTTTCATTTAAATGAGGACTCGTGAAAGTATAAGATCTCATTATAACTAAGTACTAATTGCTTTGTATAGATTTAGTAGGAATTAGATATATTTTTCATTTAACCAAGTCCTACTCTTGCGTATCCCATAGCGGAATCTTCCTTCCAAACAAATCACATCAAATGAAACAGGCAACGGTCACAAACAGTTTATCCAAGCAAGCAATGTTACATTCGTGATGCTGTTCTTCCGGAGGGTCGGGATTGTGATCCAGGCTCATAAATTCTTTCAACGACTGACAGTTGTAGGGTGCTCGTCATAGTGGTAGCCATGGCATCTAGATATGGCACATTCGCGTCCAAGCATGTGGTCGAGCAACACGCACCTCTCTCAAACATCCATCTGACATAACTTGTGGATAACGTGTTGTGTTGTGTTGACAATGTATGTTTGTGTGTTACGAGTATAGTGTACGTTCGTGTGTTGTGTGTTTTATTGTAAGTTTGTTATGTTATGTTAGGTATACTATAGAATAGGTGCTTGATATCCGTGGTTAAGGGACTACTAGGAGTGATTAAACCGGCTTTAACACTATAGCGGACTATAAAGATATGTAAAGTTTCCTAGATAAATAAACAGATAAATGTGAGACATCGTTAATAATGAAAACTGATTTTATTGAGATGCTGTTTTGATTTTATTGAGATGCTGTTTTGTTCAATTTATATCAGTTTATCAACGTTTCGTGAAAACAAATTTTATTTATAATAGACACGTAAGATGAATTCAGTAAGGCTTTTGACGTTGTTCTAAAAAGCCATTTTTTTAAAGCAACAAGAAGTTTTTTTAAGTCAATTGAAATAACAAATTATATTTATAGTGGCATTTATCGATGTAACTCGTATAAATATTTTAAAATCCTCATAAACTTAACGCGTAATTAAGGCAAAAAAAAATTTAACCGGCTGACTTTAAGAGAATAGATAAGACAGAAAACAAATAGTAATATACTGTGAAAATAAAAAAAAGTTTATAACATAGTCTGTTTAGAATTAATTGATGGAAGTTATTGCTATTATAACAATAACACGGTTAAGTCCTTTACTCTTACTCCAAGTTTGTATTCCCACACTCATACGGAGTGACAAGTGGTTTTCATTCATAGATCTTCACATTATAGTATCAACGTAGCTTATCGAATGAGTTACGGGAAACGATTCATATGTAGAGTAATTTTAATACTTGTGGTAAACACACTGACCTCCGGAACCTATCAGAGGTTTGTTAAGTTCTTATTGTGACAGATCTTTAACACGGTAGCAATATGAGCTTTAGCGATGTCCTTTAAAAAGCTGCTTCGCCATTAAGAGTATATACCATAATCAGTGGATTCGCGTTGCAAGAACGAATAGTAGAAGCTTATGAACACACTCTTTATATAAATTATGATAAAACAAAAAAAATCATTAACATACTTAACATGTCAATGATATTTAATGGGAATTAATCGCTCATTAATAAGGGATTTGAACAAACTTTCAACAAACCAGAGTGTGTTGACAACGAAGATTAAATCTTATCGTAAATTGAATAATAAAATAATATGAAAAATGTGTTATAAATCGTTTATACGCCACTGATCCATTTAATAAATAACTATTGGAATAAAAATAATTAATGTAAATTGACAATAATATTTAGACTAATACGAGTTTGTAATGAGATTTTACTTTGACTTCATGCCAGGGCTTGTGTAGTTCACTTGATAACATCTTCTTTACGTTTTAAAAAGTTTATTTCTTAATTAAGTGTTGGTTTTCACAGTGCATTTTAATCTAATAGTGTGTACCATAAATGGTTTTTGGCGAAAATTGTCTAACGATGGTTTTCAAATAGTTTCTTCTTGACAATCTTCTAATTTGTTGTTTTCGTTAATAAACGTGTTAAAATTTAAACAGTTATAATCATAGAATTATCCGTTAGTTTATTTATCGCGTCTCGTCGCCTCGTCTGTAAAATCCGTTGCAGAATATAAAAATAGATCAATCAAATAGCTGATGTTGATACCAACAGGTTTAAATGTAATGGTTTCCGCAGTGGGGAGTCCGGAGTTGTTCGAATGCACCCTAACTATTGGTTCTACTAGCTAGTTAGACACGACACAATATTATATTAGATATAGGCCAGTCAATTTGTGACTTATATATTAGCCTTCGGATTTTGTACTTATAATCTACCATGGTAGCTGTCTATGAATTAAAATGGCAAGTTTTTGGAAGATTTATTTTGAGATTATTACGAAATATATTGTCATTTGTTATAATAAAATAGACATAAAAAATATTTGATAACTTTTAAATGATATTAAATCATAGACTTGTTTGTCAAATAGCTAACATCTAATATAGGAACAATACGTGGGCATGAATGTTCATTCTCACTCCAATTAATTGTTAAAAAATTAATACCGTTAGCATAGTATGTTGATTTGCAACAAATAATTTAAATGAAAATAATATTTTTCGGATTACTATGTACGCGTATTTTATAATTTTAAATAACTATATTTTCGGTTAAATTTCACCAATCGTAATCACGGACAGACGAGATCACATTAAACAAATAATTTGTTTATTTTTAGATTTCTCTCAAAATAACTCCATTTAAAAAACATAATTATACGTATTAATACATTTATAACATACAATCCATGGCGACAAAATTCCTTTATAAATTAATTCATGAATTGTCAGCTATAAGAATACATCCGAAAAAAAAATCCTACCTTCTACTTCATAATATTTCGATAATTTTGCTATAACGTGACGATTTTAATGTATTATGGTAAACATTATTTTCACAGCCTCCAGATTAGGATAAAACACTCGTCGTATAAATTAGAATACATTAAAACATTCTCGTTTTTTCAGATAAAAGAAAAACACAAGATACATTTCTAGTCGACGTACTTTTAATAAAAATGTTAGTAAATTTTCCTTAACTGATATTGAATTAGCTGGTGAGGGAAACAAAGAAAGAGATTGTGATTCATAGAGAGTTTGTAAAAGAGAATTAAAAGAAGACGACATGGATTCAAAGAGTGACATCGAGCTCAGTGTTCAAGGAGGGAGTAGCAAACCTGGGTGAGAGATTATTATCTGATTAATAATAATGCTTTTGCGGTATTTACAGCAGTATATAAAAATAATTTATTAAATTAAAATACTACTACTACAGTAGCATATTACTATTTATAACATTAGCTGTCTATCAGAGAAAGTTTCCTCGAAATCTGTTAAGCAGTTTCAAAGATTAGCTGGAACATACATTGTTAAAAAATTAGGTTTACGTTCCGTATATATGCATGTAGTAAAAAAATGTTTATTAAAAAAATATTTATTTCTATTGTAATATTTTTATATACTAGTAAATTAGGTATGTAGTTCACAAGTGTATTTTAGTCCGTCGTAATTCTATTAATATTTTATTTATAATGAACTACATAATATTTATTTTCCAGCGTTGGAGCAACTAAATCTGACCTTCCAGAACGAGGTTCTTGGGGCAGCAAGTTAGACTTCATCCTCTCAGTTATCGGACTGGCTATTGGTTTAGGCAACGTCTGGCGCTTCCCTTATCTGTGCTACAAAAATGGTGGCGGCGCCTTCCTTATTCCGTACTTCCTCACCCTCTTCCTTGCCGGGATTCCGATGTTCTTCATGGAACTTGCTATGGGACAGATGCTTACGATCGGTGGCTTGGGAGTTTTCAAAATAGCACCCATTTTTAAAGGTCAATAATTTGAATTAAATAAATTAACTGCATGTACAAAGATGCATGTTAGATATAAATTTACTATAGAAAGAAGATTTATATCTTTTGATATATTGATAATTGGACTTGATTATAAATAACCTTCTCTGCAGGTATCGGCTACGCAGCAGCAGTGATGTCATGTTGGATGAACGTGTACTACATAGTCATCTTAGCGTGGGCCATCTTCTACTTCTTTATGTCAATGAGATCTGGTAAATAATTTTATATCATAGCGTTTTAAATATACGATTATGTTCCCAAAGAAGAAGAGAAATTAACTTATCCTTGTTATTATCAGATGTTCCATGGAGAACTTGTGATAACTACTGGAACACGGACACTTGTGTGAATCCGTATGACAGGAAGAACCTGACCTGCTGGTCCGACTTCGATATGAACACTTTCTGTACACTCAACGGCAAGAATGTCAGTAAGGCATTCCTCTCTGATCCTGTTAAAGAATTTTGGGAGTAAGTTTGTTTTTATAATATTTCAATCAAATCACCTAGATTAATTGCTTTTCTAAAAATATGTCATATAATAGAGCCTCGCTGTGGTCAAGATACTACTAGGCTGGCTCGACCGGGGAAGTACCACCCTCTCACAGAAGATCGGCGTGAATAGCCTTTAATGGCTGCGTTTTGTCCGAAGTGTGAGAGAGACAGTTGTCCTTTCCCTATTCCTACCTTTTCTTCTTTCTCTTTCCATAATCAAGGTCGGCAATGCATCCACAACATCCCTTATGTTACAGATGTCAGTGGGCAACGATGACTACCTTCTACCACGGAGGCCATCTACTATTTTTCCGCCCTTGATATATACATTATACCTATCCGAATACTAACAATAATCTTATTATATTATTTTCCAGACGTCGCGCTCTCCAAATATCCAGCGGTATAGAACACATCGGTAACATCCGCTGGGAGCTGGCGGGCACGCTGCTGCTGGTGTGGGTGCTCTGCTACTTCTGCATCTGGAAAGGAGTTCGTTGGACCGGCAAAGTCGTGTACTTCACCGCGCTGTTCCCATACTTTTTGCTGACTGTACTGCTTATTAGGGGTAAGTTGTTATATATTAATAATCGAATTATTTAAAACAAAATATCACATAAAATAAAATTTGCTTCCAATAATAAGCCTTCCTTGAAGAATTAAGGTTAATTTCGGAAACTTTATACTGATAATGATAATTTTCTAACAAGGGTTCAAATAAAGATTTAAAGAATTTCAAACTTAATCCAATGTTTCATTCAGGTATCACTCTCCCGGGAGCGTTTGAGGGCATAAAGTTCTACGTGATGCCAAACATGTCAAAACTTCTTGAATCAGAAGTATGGATAGACGCTGTAACTCAGATCTTCTTCTCGTATGGTCTCGGTCTCGGAACTCTCGTCGCGTTGGGAAGTTACAATAAGTTCACAAATAATGTATACAAGTAAGTTGGAAAAATGGAATCCAAGAATTGTATGTATAATATATGTAGTATAGTATATTTTGCATCGTTAAGTATTTAATGTATTGTCAACAGAGACGCTCTAATAGTGTGTTCAGTCAACTCCAGTACGTCGATGTTCGCTGGTTTCGTCATATTCTCGGTTGTGGGCTTCATGGCTCACGAGCAACAAAGACCTGTGGCTGAAGTCGCTGCATCAGGTAAACATTGACATTCAATGAAATAAAACTAATATCTTTCAGATTATCACGCGTTTATAGTTGTTTTGGTAATCACGGTTGCTGCAAAATAAGTGAAAAGTAAAGAGTATGCTGTTACAAAATATTTTAAATCTCGTAGTTAAACTGAAAACTATTAGTTTTATATCAATGAATACTCGCGATAATCTTAGATCCATTTATCACCATGTTGCTTTCTACAAGTGCTTCTATTATCTTCTTTTACTAGGCAATTTCCCAGCTTTAGCCAGGGTCAGCCTTACATGTAAATTGTTTTGGCGAATTGTTTTTACGACCGTCCACCTGCCTGACATCATGCATACATGGAATGCATTCATCAGTGATGTGAACTCTTAGAAAGTACATATGACTCGGAAAAATCACATTGGTACTTTCCAGGATCGAACCCGCGCCCTCCGGTATGAGAGGCGGGCCTTTTAACCACTAGGCCACCACTGACTTAATCTGAAAAACTAATATTAATGTATATATCTCTCCAGGGCCGGGTCTAGCGTTCTTAGCGTACCCGTCCGCGGTGCTGCAGCTCCCGGGCGCGTCTCTGTGGTCGTGTCTGTTCTTCTTCATGTTGCTCCTCATCGGTCTGGACAGTCAGTTTTGTACTATGGAAGGATTCATCACTGCCGTCATTGATGAGTGGCCGAAACTATTGAGACGTAGGAAGGAAATATTCATTGCGATTACATGCATCATATCTTATTTGGTCGGATTGTCTTGCATCTCTGAGGTGAGCGCGAAAAGGATTTAATTACCAGGATAATAATGATTAAAATGATATTTATGTTTTTTTTTTGTATTTCAGGGAGGAATGTACGTTTTCCAAATACTAGACTCGTACGCCGTCTCCGGTTTCTGTCTGTTATTCTTGATCTTCTTCGAGTGCGTGTCCATCTCGTGGGCGTTTGGTGTGAACCGCTTCTACGACGGAATAAAGGAAATGATCGGATACTACCCAACTATATGGTGGAAATTCTGCTGGGTTGGATTCACGCCCGCTATATGCATCGTGAGTCTACTCTCCTCTTACTTTTTCCTTATAAAATTCAAACAATCTGATCTAAAAATATTTCCATATTATTTGAAAAGAATTTGTTAATTTCGATGGAATTTATTTGGAACAAAAATTCATCTACATCAAATTTTTATTCCTATTTACGACATAATTTCTAATACAGCGATTCAATGATTCTTCTATATTCTTTAACAAGTCAACGTATCAATAAACTGTCGATATATAATAATATTTTTGTGTTGTTTCTGTTTGTCAGAGCGTGTTCATCTTCAACCTGGTCCAGTGGAAGCCCATCAAGTACATGAGCTACGAGTACCCGTGGTGGTCGCACGTGCTCGGCTGGTTCACGGCGCTGTCCTCCATGCTGTGCATCCCGGGGTACATGCTGTACCTGTGGAGGGTCACGCCGGGGACTAACATGGAGGTACAAACCATACTATAAGGATTTACTTGCCATAATATCTTCTTCTATCTGGCAGCCCCCTAGCTTTAGCCAGGGTCTGCCTTACATGTTGTGAATAGTTTTGGCTAATTGTTTTCACGACCGGCCGCCTGCCTGACATCAATCCTCTTTGGGAATGCATTATAATCAGTGATGTCTATATAGCCTCAGAAAGTACTTATGACTCGGAAAAATCACATTGGTACTTGCCCGGGTCTGGATCGAACCCGCGCCTTCATGCATTAGAGGCGGGCCTGCTAACTACTAGGCCACCACTGACTCTGTATATATGCTCTCTCATCTCTTTCTATCTATATAATATCTGTGATCTCTTTATGTTTACTTGATGAGATGTTTTTTATTAAATTATTTCTTCAAAAATCTTGATATATTTGTAAGAAATTGTTGTTAATTTTTAATCAAGATTAAAATTTTGTTCGAGTATTCCTTAGATGATTTTGTTGCTGTTATGATAAATTATACTTACTTAGTTTGTTGTTTATATAATTCAAAATAAAAAACAGTTGACCTTGTCTCTAGTTCACTGTTCTATATGTTTAATAACTTTCAACTATTAGTGTTTTAAATATGTATATATATTTCTTATATATACGACTTAATTGTTTTTTTTCTGCAGAAATTCCACAAGATAGTTCGTATCCCGGAAGACGTTCCCACTCTCCGCACCAAGATGCAGGCCGAGGAACAAGCGAAACACGCTAGCGCTTAAACACTTAACACATTCGAACTCAGACTTACAGAGATCGAATGTGCTAAAACTATCACTATAATGTATAACGCACAATATTATATTAACTAAACATCGTTTATTTAACCGTAGTTTATTTTAACTTAAGTTTTATCGTTTTCTAAGTTAGTTGATAGAAAATTTTAGACTTTACGTTCCGCGACGCGTTCATGTATGTTTGTATCTAAAGTGTGGGCGAGACCGACTGACGATTATATTTTTAACTATAATTTGTATGAAAACAATTATTAAGTTACCTTATTAACAAATAAATATTAGAATTAGTGTAAGTATGTATTAATGTTATAAAACGCAACGGGACGCGTGTATTAAAGAAATAAATGTTATTATTAGAAGACAATATATTTGTGAATATTTATATATATTAAAAATATTAACTGCCACTTACATATATATTAAAAATATATATATTTCAGACTTCATACAAAGAAATATTCCGATTTATACATATATATGTACCTATGTATCTTTTTAGTTAGTTATCTGTATAATCTAATATTATTTTGGTAGAGCTTTAACGTACTAATTATTTAGTTAATACATATTTTTTAGTTATTTTAAGTGTATATTTAAAAGAATTATTCATATCACTGTATAATTAAATGACTACTGTAACTATGAACTTGAGACCAAAATTAACCAAAACAATTTGAACAATTTTTTCCATACTGTAGTTTTTACATTTTTAAAATCATGGCCTAAATTTTCTATCATGTTATTTACAAATAAATATTTACTGAATGAAAATACAAAGATTACAATATATATATATTTGTAGGATTGTGTGGATTTTCAAAACACTATACGTCGTACACTAACACATGTGTCAATGTATTTTAGTCAATTTCTATATTATTAAATTAAGATATATTTATTCGTAACATATAAATCGTTGCCAAAAATTGCTTTTAATATATTATATACTCGTTATTATATGCATGTTATATTAAAAAAAATAAATTCGTTTAATTATTTCTTATAATAATTTTAATTTTAATAATATGATTCTATATAGTGCTTCCATATTAAATGTAGAATTATTAGAGCTACATACATATACTATACATTTGGATGTACTCGTTTACAAATCTCTATACTGAAGATTTATTCTATACAATAATATAATTAATATATTCTTATTTATATCAATGTAGTAGGTGTGGTTTATGTATGTCAAAGTATGACGTAGACTGTAGAACATAATTTATTGAATCCATTAAATAATTAAATAAATATAATACATAATATATAATTGTTTTATTTGTAACCTCTATTCAGAAATATTTTATAAATATTTGAGGTGAGCGTAACGTGCGTTAGATAAGGGTCTCTTAAACCTACACCTGGGTCACAAGTCCCAGTCACTGTTGAAGCTCCTCTCACTACAACGATGGACCCGACACACGCACCGTGAATACATGGAATGATGAGAGGTTTCGTCTCATCATTTCTTATAATTATTGGAACTTAAAAATTAATAAAAATTTGATTCTTGAGTGTTATGAGTTTGTTTAAAAATATTACAAATGATATATTTTCCAATAAAGTTGATTGCTGCTTCGACGAAAATATTAAACAAATTATCATCATCAGCCTATCAGAGCCCACTGTTGAGCAAAGGCCCTTTCTCACATGGAGAAGGCTAGAGCGTTAATCATCACGCTTGCTCAAAACGGGTTGGTGATTTTAAACTTATTATTGGAAATTATAAGTCCAAGTTCCCTCACGATGTTTTCCTTCATCGTCTGTCAGTGATGTGTAAAACACTTTTAAACACGAGAGGCGGGCCTGTAACCTCTGGGTCACCATTACCACTAGGTCAAGAAATAAGGTTTTTTAAATTCATTGAATGTATTTAAGGATAGATTGGTGAAAATTGTTTTCTATATATAGATATTTATTCACAGTCTCTAAAGAGTCCAACCATCCCTTCAATTCTTAAAATTATCTTAAAGTAACATAATATATACACTGGTCATCAAATAGGTAATTTATTTTTCATAATCATAATCTATATTTGGCGAAGTCTTTTTTCATATACAGATGATAATTTTGTTAATATTCTGTTTACCAACTTTATAATTTTATTTATAAAGCAATGAAATTTTAATCGAATTGACTTAAGTATTAGATAATATTCAAAGATTTGTTCTCAAACAATATTCTTTCGATGTTCATCTCAATCATTTCTGGTTTTATAAGTCTTAAAGGTTTAAACTGTTAGCACCTTTTTCGTCTTTTAGCGTTGCCATGTCATATTTAAGTTAATATTAACTGATGATGCAATGGCCGGCCTTGATTCAGGATCGCGAAATATTCATATTAGCATACCTTTATGGGGATAACATATTATATTTATTATACTACATTCAATAGTGTTATTTAATTTGTAAAAATATATCATTGAGATAGTCGCTGTAGCTTTGGAAACAGACATATATATATACAGTATGTTCATATTATTTCGTCCCTTTTTTGGAAAAGAATGATTAGGAATAATGATTAAGATGTAGTTAAATATTGTCTTTGATAATATTATAATAATTAAATATTATTTCTACTAAGTAATATTCTATGTATATTTTGTTTGTATTGTGAGTTTGTTTGTGTTTATGTCTTCTAGTTTAAATACAGTTCAGGCTATCATATTACTTTGAATGGTTGTAAATATTTTAATTACGAAACTATTTCTATATGCAACAAAGTTATTCTTAGTGCGGCTATCAATTGTCAAATGACTCTTCAACATCGACAGTTTTGAGTCCTCAAGTTTAAATCATCAGTTATTTGTTTACAAATATTTAATAACTAGAAGACCTGGCGAACTTCGTATCACCCTATAATCAAGAAATATCTATTACGTTTTTTTATTTATATTTTTGGAGTTTACCTGTAAGCCATAAATCTCCGTGTTTTGAAGTGCGACAGAATGATTGACATATTAGTTAGTTGTCAAATCTAATGTCAAAAAAACGTTTGTATGGGAAATAGAAAAGGGCTGTTTTTATGGTTTTCCCAGTAATGAATCAATTTTTTCAGCTTTTATACCTTCCCTGAAACTCCACGAACATTTCAAGACTAAGATAAGGTAAATCCGTTCAGCCGTTCTCGAGTTTTAGCGAGACTAAGGAACAGCAATCCTTTTTTATATATATAGAAGATTAATATACCAATAAGAATAATGTGTTAGGTTTAAAACTAAATTAATTTTCTTAAGTTTTTAATGATTCCTCATAGTTAGTTCTCTAGCAGAACCTCAATACAATGTTTTGTCTAAATCGGGTTACCGAGTTTTATATTATTACGCAAACAGACATACACAATAACTTAGTGAGATACTCCTTTAAATATTGTATAACATTTGAAACTGCGTAGGTTTGTTTCTTATGAAATTAAACAAGCACTAGTCTTGCGAATTATTGGCAGATGATCTTTTATCTTCTTCTACATGTTGGGAATAGTTTTGGCTAATCTAAGCGCACGGTAGTGCGCCGGCCAAGTTCCACAGGCCGGCGCATGCCGTGCACTATATTTACACGAACCGTTTCGACCCACTTTTGACCCCCCTGTAGCTCAGTGCCTATTGCAAGTACAGAGATAAAATTTTACCTATGTAATCATATACTAGAATTAAAGCAGTATGCCAAATTTCATAGATAAAGCTTCAGTAGATCCTGAAATATGACCCTGTGAAAATAGCTAATTTTGGCACTGACTCACTGACAGGTAATCAAAACCTCTAGGCCACTTCCCATTGTTTTAGCATTATGAAATTTGGTACACAGGTTGTGTGTTATATGTAGATTAACAAAAAATTAAGAAATTTAAGAAATCGGTCAAGCGTGAGTTGCCTCAATTCTAAATATCGAATTTTTAATAAATTCGACCCACTTTTGACCCCCTGTAGCTCAGTGTCTATTGCAAGTACAGAGATAAAATTGTACCTACTTAATCATATACTAGTCCTAAAGCAGTATGCCAAATTTCATAGATAAAGCTTCAGTAGATCCTGAAATATGACCCTGTGAAAATAGCTAATTTTGGCACTGACTCACTGACAGGTAATCAAAACCTTTATATAGGCGCTCAGCTCAGCATAATAAAATACATAATAATGAAATATTAATAATTAATAATATGAGTGCATCTATCAATCGGTGATAAATGAAAATAAAAAATAAATATAGTTTAAAAAAAACTAAAAAACACGCTCCAATGATGAAAGAAACCGCGTGGAAACTAATTTAACCTTTACAACCTTGGAAATCAATTTAATTTAAATTGTTTAAAATAAACAATAAATGGTATTATTGAAAAAAAAGCGTGGGGCGCTTCTCAAGAAGTGATATATGAAGCTCATCACGCTTTTTTTTCACAAAAATACCATTTATTGTTTGTTAATTTATTTTTAAATTAATATTATTGTGAAAAAAGTGTGGGGCGCTTCTTAAGAACTGATATATATATAAGGGATATAAAATATTGTCATGTATACATAATGCACACTGTATAACTTAATTAAATATTGCGTACCTAAAAAATCAGGTTTCTATTGTTATAAATTACTTTCGATAGATGGCGCTAGCGGTATAATTGAATCGCGATATTGTTTTGTCTGCAGTATATATGAATGAAAGTCGATAAGGAATCGATGGTCATTTCTTTCTATTTCTTTCTACACTTATGTCTTGGTATCTTATATATGGTTACGATTACGATTAAATGGATCACTGATTTGACCTGCTAAAGGATTAATTTTGATATTGCTTATTGATTGATTACTTGTGTGTGTTAAAAGCACAAATTCACTCTATTTCTTTTCTACTATTCATTTACCAACGATGGAAATTGTACATCTTTCGGTGGTTGGCGGAGATATACCACATAGGGTAATTCCTATGCCATCAGATGGTAGCTGTATGTTTCATGCTGTAAGTTATGCATTGTACGGCTGTATAGTACGATTGTATGTACGATTTCTTGAAAAAAGTATTGAAATCTCACCAAAAACATGCCTGTTAAAAAGGGGGCCAAGTTCCAATCGGCTAATTGTTTGCCTAAAAAAGGGGTGAAATCCAATCTAATGCCAAGTTTAGATGCACTTTGAAATCGATCATAATCATCTTCATCAACAGCATTATCCACTGGTAAACATTTGCCATTCCCAAGACTCGCCACCACACCCAGTCCTCTGCCTTCCACATCCAGCCACTACCCGCCACCTTATTCACGTCAACGGTCTATCTGGCCGAAATTCACTTTACCATACACCCAACTTAAAATATGGTATAGTTGTGAAAATACGTAGGTGCTTGGTTAAAAATATCTAAAATTGTAATACTTCTAAATTTGAACTTGGCAGGTTAATTTAATTATTTAAATTATATAAATATAAATAATTATATAACTAAGTAATAAATTAATGATACAATTAATTAAGTGTTACGTACAGCACAAAAACCTGCCAAGTTCAAATTGAGAAGTATTATAATTTTAGATATTTTTAACCAAGCACCTACGTATTTTCACAACTATACCATATTTTAAGTTGGGTGTATGGTAAAGTGAATTTCGGCCCGATGGACCGTTGACGTGAATAAGGTGGCGGGTAGTGGCTGGATGTGGAAGGCAGAGGACTGGGTGTGGTGGCGAGTCTTGGGAATGGCAAATGTTTACCAGTGGATAATGCTGTTGATGAAGATGATTATGATCGATTTCAAAGTGCATCTAAACTTGGCATTAGATTGGATTTCACCCCTTTTTTAGGCAAACAATTAGCCGATTGGAACTTGGCCCCCTTTTTAACAGGCATGTTTTTGGTGAGATTGTTTTTACGAGCGGCCGCCTGCCTGACATGAACCTTCTTTGGGAATGCATTAATCAGTGATGTCTAAATACTCTTAGAAAGTACATATGACTCGGAAAAACTCACATCGGTATTTGCCAGGGCCAGGGCAGATGATCTTTTATGTATTTATATGAAGTGCGAAATATTTTAACATATAATAAAGGGACTATAATAGTTTTGATTTAACTATTGTATATTCCACACATGTTTGACCTTCGTTTTAAAACATCAAGTGTAGGAATGTCTATGTATTTCGTGTTGTCGCATATTAATAGATCGTTTACTGATGTCTAACTATTAAATTTTATTGTTCACTTGACGAACACATTAATGAATGTTTAAAGTATTATGGCAAGTAAGTAAAGTTTAGTTCTGACTACACTAATACATTGTTTGTACAGTTAATTTTAGCAGTATTATTTTGCGTAAAATATGAAACCGTCTTTTAAGTCTTGGTTTTAATTCCTCTGGTTCATGAAGTATTTGAAGGAAAAGGAGTTATAGTTAAAACCTTATAATCACACAAAAATACGTGTCAGTTCCTTTACAGCAATCGTGATCACTAGCAGGTGAAATGAAAGTGTCGGGATTTTGTTACGAAATAATAAAAAAATGCGTAGTATCTGAAAAGCTTTGTTTCATTTAAATGAGTACATGCGAAAATCTTAAACATCATTACATGTAAACTCCAAAAAAATGCTGATTATAAAAAATATTAACAAAATCGTGTTAAAAATATTATATCGTTTCAATTTGTAACGATCTATTTATATCACAGGAAATGTATGCAAATATATTGCTTAACAATGTAAATGCTCACGCTCACGTCTTTGTAAATCTTATTTTAGTAATACCAATAAATAGAGATGTATGTAATATTTATTTTAGTTTCACTAACACTGCATGTAACCACACGCGTAGTTTATTTACGACTGTATGCTAACTTACAATTCGTTTTAGTAACTTTTGCATCAGCCTCCTAATCTGTTTGAGCTGAGATAAATCTTTATCATCTCAATTATATAACACGATTATACAATCAATTGAAATAGAATTTTTAGTTTTATTACTATAGTCATTATAGATAGTCAGTGATGGCCTAGTGGTTAAAAGGCCCGCCTCTCATGCATGAGGGCGCGGGTTCGATCGTGGCAAGTACCAATGTGATTTTTTCGAGTCATATGTACTTTCTAAGAGTATTTAGAATTCACTGATAAATGTATTCCCAAAGAGAGTTGATGTCTGGCAGGCGGCCGGTCGTAAAAGCAATTAGTCAAATGTATTCACAACATGTAAGGCAGACCCTGGCTAAAGCTAGGAAATTGCCAGGAAGAAGAAGAAGAAGTTATTATTGCTTTGTAAGTCAGATATAAGTTTCTGATCAAATATTAATGACAGGAAGAAAATTATATACTAGTGTAGTTGTAAGATAAAGAGTAGATACTAATGACGTATTGGCTATGGATTTATTAATACATATATATTCATAATTTATTAGTAATATAACAAATAAATGTTCCATTTGTTACGACTTACCTCTGAAACTTTAGTTATCGAAAAGAAATTTGTTACATAATAGTTATTATAATAAAAAACTTAACTTGAACTTATTTCTGTTTTAGTTTCCTCCATCGAGTTGTTTTATTATATAATTCTTTAAGACAATTAAAATGTGTTCAACTTTCAACAATGTACAATGTAAAAATCGATTAACTGTTTGTAGGAGAAAAGTTAAAGGTACATAAAATACACGCACATCTAAAAGAAAATAACGTTCTAAATTAGGCAAAAATACAGACGAAACCGCGAGCGTTAACTAGTGTTTAATATAATACAAACACACACAGACGATTTAATTATAAGACGTGTCCGTTATCGTTGTTTGCGCGCCTTATCAACACTTTCTACGAAGTGGAGTACAGTAAACAAATTCCGTTTTAATATATGCGTCCCATTATACGGAAATATCTTTTCATATATAAAGGTTTAAATATCTTATTTAAAGGATTCACTCGGTAATAATTCTTAGTTATTTAGACTGTATTGCAATAATCTGTTAGTAGTTTTACGTGAGTAGCAATGATTATTAAGTACGTATATTCGTACTCATAACTTGCAATTTATAAGAGAAATAAATTAATATACATTGAATGACTCTTCATTTAAGCTTTGGAATCGTTATAAGAAGTGACAATAATTATGCTTGAGTCAAAGTTAGTTAAAAAAAATTTAATGCATATATGTAAATCAAAGCGAAAATATATTAAAAAATAGTCCTTAAAAACAATTAATACTTATATGTATATATGTACTTAGTTGAAATAATGTCAAGATCGGGAGCTGGGCCATGACAGAAGAAAGGATAAATGTATATATATGTATATCTAATTAATAAAATTAATTAATAAATATCAACGCTCACGACTTCCACATTGCTTTACACACGAAGTCCTGCAGCATCTCAAAAAAGAGGTAGGAGGAAGTAAAGATTAAATAAATATACAGACGTGCCATATAATATATTATACCTATTACGCGCATTCGCTTGTGAGGTTTACAGTTATATGTGAAGCAACTCACAGTGACAATATTGAACAAAGATAATAAACCTATCATATATAGTAATTAAAATAAACTTAAGCTAAAATATGTACTATATTCTGATAGATTTATGCTTAATAAATTGTTTGAATATGTGACCTTTGTGAGAATTTATCCCGTGTTCATAATGTTTAATCTTTGACGAGTCAAGACGCGCGCTGACCGAAATAGATGGCTTGTTGTATTCGAGCGAGGAACTCCTGCAGTCGGAAACATTGAATAAGATATGAAGTGAGATGGAACGTTAAATATATGGTGTTCAAAATAATATAGTGTTTTACAGTCAAAATGTGGTATTATGTTGTGTGTCTGTTGCTGGCCATGAGATGTGTGGAAGGTAAAGTTATGTTTAATATTCCTACTTAGAAATATAGTTATATTTGTATTTGAAAATTATAACAGCAAGATATGTGAACCAGTATTGATACTATGATTATAAGTTTTTAAATATATGAGTTTATTTGTTTGTTAAAATTGAATTTTAATGGGTTTCCAGTAATGTAGCTTATAAAGCATATTATAATTGCAAGTAGAGAAAGCAATCAGACATAATTCACGTGTGTAGACGCGTTTAGATCTATTCTTATCAATAAATATTAATAATAATGATTGAAACTTTGTATCGAATTGAAAAAATATAGTTTCTTTTATTCTACTAGTAGATTTTAAGATACTCCTGTTTTTTTTTAAATTGGTATACCTAAAGTAGAAAGTTCATTTTTTAAAATAAATAATAATTCACATCCGAAAAACAAAATTGTAGGTTAAAATATGACACGAAAAATTGAGAAATTTTAAGAAGTTAGATATTTTTTTCTAAAACTATAATGAATTTTATATAGTTTTTATAACTTTAACAAGTAATAATAAGACAGCACAGATTCCTAGAAGTTCAAATGTTCATTTGTGTGAGGATTCAAAAAAATACAAAATATGTTACCGAGAACTACACATGGTGAATGGTGAAATAACTTCGTTAAGTTATTTCATATCTTTTGCAGCATGTGTATTCAACATAGAGTTAAATGAATGAATTTATTACAAATTTTATTAGGTATATGTATTAATACATTAACTTATCTATGTTAATAGGGAATTTAAAAATTCGTAATATTTTACATGTACACGTATTAAATTTTTTAATAAATTTGTTTACTTGATTCTTGTATGTTGAATAACTTATTTGATTTTAATGTGAGGTTTCGATGGCTTTGTAATTATCGTTTTCTGTTTACGAGGTCCACCTCTGTTGGATGTAATTTATTTGCTGTCAGGAGGTCCTTAATTTTTTCGTGTTGTTCCTTCGCACGAGGTCTTAAAATGCGCTAGATATATGATAATTAATATTTCTGATGGAAGAATATATTTTTCTAGTAAGGTTAAGTAGAACAGCTAATCAGGTAACTACCATAATATTTTATTTGTGTCACATCATAGTCAATGTGCTCTAATATTTTTTGAATTTATCTTGTGATTTCATATTATTATCATAGTACATCAGATTATCTATTAATATCATCTATTAAGAAAACCTTCTATTAAAAGTTATTTGGCTGCTACATATAAAAAAACTTATAATTTCAAATTATAAGTTTAAAATCGCCAATCCGTCTTGAGCAAGCCTGGTGATTAATGCTCCAATCTTCTCCTTTTGAGAAGAGACCTTTGCTCAGCAGGGGACTCTGATAGGCTGATGATGATGATGATTATGATGATATAAAACAAAATCGATGTGATAAAATAATTAGTAGTTGAAGAATATTGTTTGTATAATCAGTTCAAATTATATATTGTTTTGTAAATTACATTTAATAAAATGTTACTTAAATTACATATACTTTGGATAAAACATTAGGATGTGTGTTTTTGGGATTAATTTTGAATATATGCTAACCTCATGATAATACGAGGATAATTTATGTCAGGATTTAATGGAACGCTTGCGAAATAACATACACCAGCCTTATAAAAAAATGAATTATTTAGAAAAGAAGTTCAAATTTAACTGGTTAGGTGTAAGTACTTTTGTAGGGAGTTATAAAACTGTACTGTCTTTAATCATCTGTAACAGACTTGTTTAGAGAATTATTTTTCTTTAATCTTTATTTAAAATTGACGTTGCAGGTATTTAGTTTCAGCCAAATAACCTCTTCATTGTTAAATAATTCCAAAACAAACTTGTAAGTTATTGATAAGACACGATTTAGATATATCAAATAATAATTGTATTTTCACAGACCGAAGAATAGTTTAAAATGTAGGTAAAAATTTGAACTACATACATATATAGAATAATTTGAACTGTCATGTTGTATCTGATGAAATTGATCATCAATTTATTTTATAACAATTGAGGATTTAAGAAGGAAAATCAAAATAAGACATGATTTCGGCCTGATATACAAAAATAATTAAAGACAAAATACAATGACATGTCTCCGTGGGCTTTGTTCTCTTTGCACGTTCTTATAATTGGTTAATTTCGATTTTGATGACATCGTCAAATAGTTATAAAGACGTTTTAAACTGTGTTTATGTCGTGTTTCAGCCATGGAGTGTATGATTAAGAATATTTGACCCACATTAATGTTTTCATTACCGAACCCGTCGACGACATTGATTCATAAGTACCAAAATAACTTTTATAACTATTGTGACAGTATGGTGTTTAAGAAAAACATGTGATACGAAATATTAATTTATAAATATCAGCACTGATTTCGACTAGAAGTTTTCTTGTAATACATTTGCATGCAACCGTGACCTTCATTTTGATAAAGGTTCTGTCTCTGCAAAAGGGAGGGACGAGGGAACAAACCGGTCCAGGAAAGTGGCCCCGGTGTTTCAACTATACTATGCTATACTATAGTTTAAATAAAATATCCCTGCGCCCTTTTTGATAGAACGAATGATTAAAAAGTCGAATGTAGATTCACAAACCTACAATATAAAATAAAGCTATTACACCAATCAAGGAAGTCAAATAGAAAGACATATTTTTAGTCTTCTTTAAATAGATTCCTTATTTAAATGAAACTAATATTTTCGGATTACTACGCGTTATTTTATTATTTTAAATTGACAGAGACATGAGAATGAATTCTCATCTGTCTGCCCGTGATCATGGTTGATGCAAACTAACCGAAATTCATGTTATGTAACAAAATATGTAGTTATAATAATAAAAAAAGGGCAATACACCCGGAAATATTAGTTTCACTTCAATGAATACTCGCTAAAGTCTTAGATATCATTAGGATACTTATACAGGGTGACTGGTGAATTACTATCAATATTTAAGGAGCATACTCGGTACATGATTCTCATTTGAATTATGTAAAAAAAATAGGTACTTAATTTTTGACCAAATTTCCGTATGAATAAATAAAGTGTGTACACGTTCCAAGTGTTCCAAGTGTGGACGCGTGCGGCGGCGTGCTGATACAACAACACGCCGCTGCGCGCGTATGTGTGAGTGTGTGTGTATACCTAATCTGTAGGGTGTTCATACGATGCGTAATTAATTACACAACTTTTGGTTAACTTTACTTAGAAGTTTATTAATATTTATGTTATATTAATTTTTATTTTGTCATATATGATCGTCAAATATCACGTCCTCAAATATCGATAGTAATTCACCAGTCACCCTGTATATAATATTTGTCAACCAGGTTCTTTGGGTGATCAAATGGCTGAGATCATGCAGCTATGTTGTCACCAGGGCACGTCTTATGCTCGTAATCATTCAGTTGAAGACTGTTCATCATCAGTCCCGCCAAATGTTCCCGCTAAGTTAGGATCCCTTTGCATATTCGCTATGGACCAGTGCTGCAAAGAGTATTTCACGTAAGTCTTCACCTTTTATAATTTAAATAAACATCAATTTATTCCGTGACTTTAATAGGAAGGATAATGGTGACCGATTTACGTATTCATATTTGGGTCAAGAGCAATGATATCATGAAACCTCAATAATATTGTTTAAAAATAACTAATGAGTTATTAAAGATATTTATAACTATAGTCGATATTATAAGGAAAGTATTTCTGTTGACAGTGATAATTAATATAAATAAAGTGATAACTTTTTATACAAATTTATATTTTTATATTTATTTATTTTTTTCTTCCAGTAAGCAACAAGACTGTGAGAGCGGGATTGCATCTGCTATGGCCTTGACGAAATGTTCGTCTTTGACAAAGGAATCAGCAAAAGTAAGAAAGCTTAAAGCATATTAAAATAAATTATCCTTAGTGTTCAATAATGTCATGTTCAATAATTCATTAACATGATTAAAAGTTTGTTTTACTATTAAAAAGAAAAAGCCTTAAATAGTTCAAGTAAAAGTTTAAAACTGTGTCAGGGATATATAATATTTTATCTTAGGTTTATCTTTATTATATTTGAGAAATTAATTGCCGAAAATGTGTCAAATGATTGCTTGTTACGATAATGTGAAAGTTGTATCAACATTACAGTGTTATCATGATTAATGATGTAACAAATTTAGGACGTTAAATGTAAGTTTTATGTCATATTTATGGGTATTTATTTTCAATATTGTCTAGATATGTTGTCGAGAATGTTCTACGGGAATCTCACTAGCAAAAAGTTCTCAAAGTTCTGATGCTTGTTCTGTAAAGAATATTGGAAACAGTGCTGAAGAAATGCTTGCTGCTGACGCTCTGTCTGCTTGTTGTAAAGTAAGTATAGATATTAGTCATGATTAACATTTACATGAACAAAAATTTTATATGTGAATGATCTAACTTTAAAAACGTTTTTAGAATATTTCAGCCACAGAAAGTCAAAGAGAAGATACGAGTACAAAGAAGACTTCAGATAATGGTGAGTTTTACAATAAAAGAAAATATCTGCTTCTTTTTATTAATATTTACAGATACATGGAAAGCCTGGTGATGAATCTAAGCTATTATATGAGGTATTGGACAAATGAATCTTGTATAATTACAGAGGTGATAGCTTCCGTATGTGAGGAATACGCGCCAAACGAGTTATGTGCACACCATTGTATTCCCATACCCGGTTCTTATAAATGCAAGTGCAACCCGGGATTCATGTTGATGGCTGACGGAAGGAACTGTATTGAGGTATATAATCACTTACTTATTCATTTAAATAAAACTAAGATTTTACGAATATACTACGCAATTTAATTTTTTTTTTAAACTACATACTCCTGACCTTTACATTTCTGCTGCCCGTGTACACGGTTGCTGAAAAGTAGCCGAAACTTCGGAAGTATGTATTTTTATTAAAAATAAAGTCGCGTAGTACATACGAAAAATATTAGTTTCATTTAAATTATAGTTATATTTTAAAAGTAGACTTAAAGGTGAGCCGAAATAAGAGTTTAACTAACCTATAGATACTTTTAAGCATTTTTTGTTAAATTCTAGATCACGAGGAACAGATGTAAACCAAAAAACCCATGTCATCACCGATGTATAGATAATGGAATAGAAGTGAAGTGTTCCTGTAGACGAGGCTATCAACTGATGGCTGATCAAAAGACTTGTGAAGGTATATTATTATTGTATACTAGTTTTTGCCCGCGACTTCGTCCGCGTTAGTTTCGTCATTAGTAATATATGTATAGCTGACCAGGCGAACTCTATTCCGTCTTAGAGGCCATAAATAATCAGGTTTTTCCTGTTTCAATCAAACATAATGATTGACATATTAGTTAGTTGTCAAATCTAATGTCAAAAAAAGCGTTTGTATGGGAAATAGAAAAGGGCTGGTTTTAGGGTTTTCCCGGCAATTATTCCAATTTTTCTCACCTTTTATACCTTCCCTGAACCTCCACAAACATTTCAAGACTAAGATAAGATAAATCCGTTCAGCTGTTCTCGAGTTTTAGCGAGACTAAGGAACAGCAATCCATTTTTATATATATAGAAGATTATACATACCTTATTGTATATTATACATACCAAAATTTCTTTTCTTCTATCGGAATTTATGGGAATAAGATTTAAGAATAATATTCGCTTTATCGTAAAACAAAGAAGATTATAGACAACATGTAGGAAGATCTATATCACAATTCTTATGTACTGGCGTATATTTAAGTTTCATTAAGATTTTCAAGCTGACGTTTCCATTATTTGTGGTAACCGTGGTAGCTAAATGATAAAAGTCTCAACTTATCCGACAAAATCTATCTTATTAGAATTAATCAATTTGCAATCCATAACATAGCCTAGATATTATCGATATTTTTTTAATATTTTACTTTAATTTTATTACATTTGTACAGATATCGATGAGTGTAACCTGGACCCGCCCGTTTGTCTTCCAAGCACGCAATGTTTTAACATATTAGGTTCATACAAGTGCATTCCCAAGAAACTCAATCAAGATAAGGCAAAATGTCCGCCAGGGTTCGCGAGGAATCTTTTAAATAATGCTTGCGATGGTAAGATAGTTTTAATTTTATCTATATAAAATATCAAATTTATAGTACATTATATTTTGTTCTCAAAGAATTCTTTTGGGACCTAATAAATTTAAACTACATAGACCAAGAGAAAATAATGTTAAAATAATCACAATAACGTGTTTTTTGCAGACATAAATGAATGTAAGCTTCCTAATCCACCGTGTCCGAGTTATATTTGCGAGAATACTATAGGAGGTTATAAGTGTGGGGGAATGAGAGGGGATCCTGAAAACTTAGATAATAAGAGACCGGTCGAAGATAGGTGTCCGCCAGGGTTTAGAAGCGGAGCAAACGAAGAATGCGAGGGTAGGTATTAAAAAAATAAACAGTGACAAACATTAGTTAAATGGTAAAAATACACGTCGAATTTGTCTGTAAAAAAACTAATGTTTCAGATATCGATGAATGTGATTCCGGGAAAGATGATTGCAACAAAATATCCCAGTTCTGTATAAACACACGCGGCTCATTCTACTGTCAGGATAAAGCCTCGAAGCATTGTCCTCCTGGCTTTAAAACAAACCCATTGACGAATAAATGTGAAGGTAGAATAACTTTTATTAATTATAATACGTCTAACTTATGATTATGTGATGTGTAAAATGAAATATTTTTTAGATATCAACGAGTGTGATGACGGGGAAGACATATGTAGACCTGATCAAGTCTGTGTTAATGTGCCTGGCGAATATGATTGTAGGGCAAAAGATACAAGGTGAAAATGTGACATTATAATAGTACTGGTAGTTATTATAAAAAAATAATCTGTTAAAATGAATATTTACCTATTTCAGAGTAACAGAAAAATGCCCAGAAGGAATGAGAATCAATCCACTGAGTAATATATGCGAAGGTGAGTTAAAGTAAGTTTTATTATATAGCTTTTGAGATATGAGTATTAACAGTGATTTGTGTTTCTTTTAGATATAAATGAATGTGTTGAAGGCACACACTTGTGTGATCAATATCAAAATTGTTTGAATACAAATGGCAGTCACGAGTGTCATTGCAAACTTGGCTTTGAGTTGGATCCCACTACAGGCGCTTGTATAGGTAAAAAAATTGTATTATAATAGTTGAAGCATAATTAAATGTTAAATATAATGAAGTATAAATTTTAATATATACTTTCTTCATATGTCCTGATTGTTTCTCTTGTGTTATTAGAATATTAAAAAAGATGCTATTAAAACAAGGAGATTAATGTTTCATGTCACAAGCTAACAGTTAGTCAATAGTCGAGGTAAAGAAGACATGGTCGCTATAATCCAAGTTTTTAATATTATTATATTATTGTAAATCAACACGAAAGTGTCAAAGCTAGTATTTTCTCTTCATATTATCCCATTCAACCAAAATTTTCAGATATAAATGAGTGTGCGACAGATCAGAACAATTGCATTCCTGAATCACAACGATGTGACAACACCGTCGGCTCTTTCCTTTGCATAAGGTTTATATCGTGTGGAACTGGTTATATTCTGCACCACTCTTCAAGTACTTGCGAAGGTATGCATCACAAGAGCATCTCCAGCTTTTCATATCTTAATTAATGACAAAGCAAATAACTAATTTTGTTTTTAAGGATAACTGCTTAAAGATATTGTGTCATATTACGTAGTGCATATGTTTGAAATTATTTTTATGTTTCAGATATCGACGAGTGTGCACTAGGCTCTCACAACTGCGATCGCGCGGGTCCAGAGTATCACTGCGTCAATATTCCTGGTTCCTTCAGATGCCAGCGACGACCAAGAACAACCACACCCGCACCGGAATATGAAGATTATTATTATTCTGAGTCAGTATTAACATAACTCATTACTAGCTTCTAAGATGTTCAAATTGACTAGCATATCTTATATGAAAAATATGTCTAAAGTTTTTTTTTATCCCTAGAGAAGACATCGAAGATGATGAAAAAGATTCCAACAAAACTGAAGTTCTTCCAACTTCATCCACGACGTCTCAGTCTACATTAGTCACGAGTACTGAGTCTACTTCAAAATCAACGCCTAGACCAGCTCCAGCACAAACAAAACCGACCACAGCAACTCCGGTAGTAACACCTAAGTTACCAACGATAGAATCGGAAGTACCAGAAGATAATCTTGATAATGATATCAATCCTGGAGGTTATAAACCAGCTTTTAAAGAAACAGATACAACACCGAAAAAAGTGGAAGAAGAATATGAGCACTCACAACCAAATAATCCTGATAAAGTGCTTGATTCGAATAGACCATATGAAACAACTGAGCCCCAAAATAAATTTACCCCTTCAGTAGAAAGGGAGCCTAGCCCCGAATATCCTAAAGTTACAGAGACGACGTATAGCTCTATTCCTATTAAACCAACTTCGCCTGGGCTGGTAAATGTTAACATTAATAAAGAAGAAGAAATTGTAACATCAAGAACAGAAAAGGATATTAATGATATTTATTCAATCACAGAAAGCACCAATAAAAATAAATGGCCTGAAGCAAAACCAATGATTTGTCAGGTTGGCTTTGAAATGGATCAATACGGAGCATGTTACGGTGTGTTATCTTAAATATACTACAAATTATTATTATGTTTATTTACTCATTCAATTTATACATATTTATTACAGACATCGATGAGTGTGAGTCTGATCAACATACCTGTTCCGGACTAACGGAGGCATGTAAAAACACCATGGGTGGTTATTTGTGTGAATGCGCCCTTGGTTTCCGACGAGATTTGGTTTCGGAGTCATGTATTCCAATAACCACCTCTTCTTCTTCTACGTCTACTTCATCTACGACATCTACAACGTCTACAACTTCTACTACTTCTACCTCTACCACCTCTACTACTTCTACAACAGAAACACCGTCAACTACTGTCACTGTCTCCTCGACTTCTACAATAAGTACTACAACACCAGCACCAACTACTTCTCCAACAACAAAACGTAAGATTAATGTTAATTGGACTATTTTAATTTTATATGTTTTCATATTTTAATTTATATTTTGCAGGATACTTCTTTGGTTATCCGGAGTACCGACCTTTATCAAGACGACCATTTAGGCCGAGAAGTTTTTGTGATGTTGGCTATCATTTTAATTTTCAAACTAAGACATGCGAAGGTAAATTGCATTAAACACCAAAGTTGTGAAAGGAAATCTGTTAAATTATAATTATATAAAATGATTTTACTTTATTTTAGATATTGACGAGTGCACTAATGGACAAATGACATGCGGGTCGGCTGAAATATGTGTGAACACGGAAGGAGGCTATCGTTGCGAATGTCTACCGAATTGGAGACTGGATACCTACAGACATAAATGTGTCCCTGTTTGGAACAAGGGACAGTTCCCGCCAGGGTATGGAAATATACCAGGTATTTTTGTATTTAAAAAATAAGAGGCATATTTTTTCATCCATAGTCATGATGTGGATTAAATTTCGTAAAGTCATTCAGATAAATTAGAATTTAACGCTCATTCCAGTTCATAATAATAAAAAACCTTCAAGTTCGGAAGAGGAAAGGAAGCCCGATATAATACAGGTCGAGGACAAGGGAACAGTGTCGATCTGTCCCTCTGGAACAAGATTAAATGAATTTAATATTTGTGAAGGTATTTATATTACTTACTACTTAACTAGTCGTTGGTAATAATAAGCTTGTCTTTGGAAAAGGTTCGGTATCCTTGTAAGGTTCGGTATCCTTGTATTTCAAGTAATTATATTTATATAATATTAAAATTAAAGACTTGAAGTATGGTATAATGTGGGCTACAATGAAGTCTAAAAAGATGAATTTTTCAAACAGTATTCTAGTTAAATTTTGAATGAAATTTAGTTTAAATTTTCGTTTATTAAAGGAACTTGTTTAAACAGATCTTCCTAAAATATGTGTATCTCAACGCAATGTAACGAAAAGATTGCAGATTTGTAAGCTATAATACTTTAAAATGTTGTGTCTCAGACGTAGATGAATGTGTGACGGGGGAAGCTCAGTGTGGTCCGTTACAAATCTGCAGGAATTTGTATCGTGGCTACTCCTGTTCGTGTCCACCAGGATACAGGCTTGTTGGGGACCATCAGTGCGAGGACGTTGATGAATGTGCTGTTTCTGGGGATGTGGTAAGTTGATCAGTTTACTGGATTGAGAAGTTTTAGATTACTGAACTATTATGGTATAGATTTATTAAAGAATTGGTTTTCTACAGCCCATCTGTTCACAAAACGCTGATTGTATAAATACAATGGGATCGTACATGTGTCGTTGTCACACTGGATTTAGGTCAGCACCTGTCAATGAAAAGGTAAAAAAATTTTTTGGTAGAAGGAATTTTATTGAGGTTTATAAAAATCTTAATGTATAATTTAAACTGTTATTAGGTGTGCGTAGATGTAGACGAATGTTCGGAGTCTCGAGCCGGGTACCTCTGTCAGCAGCATTGCTCAAACGTCTGGGGAAGTTACAGATGTTCGTGTTACAGAGGTTACAGGTTAAATCCGGATAACCGGTAAGATTTATGTTCTGTTTTCGACATTTATATTAAAATTTGTATTAAAAAACGGTTACGTTTGCATGGTCATAAATAATAGTTGCACTCTAGAACTCCCGACAATGTTAAGGCTATGTAGTGTAGTTTCATTGAAATTTTAGAAATAATCAAATGCAAAGACCATAAAAAAGTGTATATAGGACTATTATCTTTTATACCAAAAAATGCTTTGATGAAAAATAAGCATATAGTGGTACATTTAACTCTTAATTTAACTTTATTTTTTTTATTTCTAGGACTTGTTCGGATATAGATGAATGCAGCGAGTTCAAGGATCGCCTTTGTTTGGGAACATGTTTGAATGAACCAGGCAGCTATAGATGCACTTGCCCGTCAGGATATCGGCTCTCCGAAGACAAAAAGAGTTGCATTGGTAAGTTCTAGTAAAATCTTTTGCTACTTTATTCTTATTTTCTGGCTGTATGATGAGTGCATAAATCATTACAATAATTATATGTAGTCTTAAAGAATAAAATATGTCGGATTTAATTCCGTTTCGTCCTTTTTAAAAGAGTATGACGGCAGCTGAACTGACGTTATCAGTGCTTTTATTCTTGATTGTAATCAGGATCTCAAGTTATTGGAGGTAGCTTCGTAGATAGTTTGACGAATCCCTTACTTCAAAAAGGTCCGATCCAACGGCCCGAGCTAGACTGTTTTTAAATTTTAATCTGTACTCTTACTTACTCACTCTATTTATAACAACCAACACTCATTGCTGTGACTTCACTTGCACAGGTGGCTACGAAGGTAGTTATTCAGATGACACCTGTTTCAACTTTCTTCAATTTTGGATTAATCAAAGAATAGGAATTGCGTCCATATTTGAATAAGATTTTATAGTATTTTATTTGGATGTTACATGATCCATCCATTATGTGGATTTCTTTTGTGGTTGAAATTTGTATACTTTTAAGATTTTTGTATAAATGTACGTATTATTTTCACCCAGATATCGATGAGTGCGAGACAGGAGTGGCCACATGTGGACGGTTCCGTTCTGAGGGAGTTAGCGATGTGTGCCTGAATACTCGCGGAAGCTATCGTTGTCATCGTATAGTCTGCCCGAATGGATACCAGCTACAGAATGAACAGTGAGTCAAGCAGGATCAGATCAGTATAGACTTCGTATTAAGTCGTCGTCTACATAAAGCAAATCTACATAGAATTATACTTTAAATGCGCCATACAGTTTTAAGTGGTATAAGTAAATTTAAATGCAGATTTATTGAAAAATTGATATTAAATTTTTGTGATATATACCAGTAGTACCAAAATTAAACGATAAGCAATCATGGTTGCGGTAGAACGAATGACAGGAAGGAAATTTTAAAATTCCTTTTTAATGAAGTATGTATGTATGTATGTATTAAGGTATATGCAAGTTCAAGGAGCAATCCCGAAGGAACTGGTCATTGTAAAGTCTCTACAGCGGAGTAAAAAAAGTGCTCAGTAACCTCTTATAACTACCGTATTTGTTGCTACCTTGTTGGTCTTCACACTTTCTAGATTAAACTGGAAAATTTAGACTCTGTTTTGAAAACTACTTACAAATGTTTTAGCAAAAAAAAAAAATACCAGTTCTTTACAAACTTTAGATCTTATATGTGAAGAAGGAAAAAACTTGTTCAACTTTGTATTCACACCTTAGTAATAACAGTGTTGTTTCTTTCCAGTCGCTGCAGCAAGATACAGTCATACTGTCCTCCATCAGACTGGGAGTGTACTCATCAACCTACAACATATTCGTACAACTTCATGACATTCGTTTCAAACTTATACATACCTGAATCCAAAGTAAGAACAAGAAAAAAACAACTATTTGACCCTTGAATATCTAATGGTAGTGATTTTTAAATTCAAGTCTTAGCACTCCTTCCATCATGAAATGCTGTTCTTTGTCAATATCCAACTTTATTAATGTAGTGGTTTGAACCAATGTCTGATAACTTTCTTTTCTTTTGAGGTGGACCTGTTCACAATGCGTGGTCCATCATGGGCGTATGCCAAGATGAAGTTTCTTTTAGGGGTTGTGAAGGTTGACGCTCCACCCTCCGTCAAGGTCAAAGCAGATATTAACTGTTTTCTGTGAGTTTTGCTATTTTACACCTTTGTTTCGGTTTGTTGTGCAATAATTTCGTGGATACAATACTCAAAATATGGTTAATAAGATAATTTGATGAAAAAAAAACATGTCAATAACTTTTACAGTTAGAGTTGGTAAAATTATCAATATTTTTAAATTCAAAATAAGTCTCTCATTTTAAAATGACAATAATGGTTTAGGTTTAGGCAACATTCAAAATGTATTTAGCATGTCTTTCTATGCATTTGATATTGATTTTTAAGTATAAAAAGGAGTCTATTATAAAAATAATTATTTTCAGATTAAAACAAACTGGTAATCAAGCGGTTATATCGCTAGTAAAGCCTTTAGAAGGACCACAGAGCGTCGAACTGGAACTGTCTATGGAATTGTTCAGTCATGATCAATTTGGAGGGATTGCGGTTGCCAAGCTATTTATATACGTATCGGAATATGAGTTTTAAATATATAAATAATAAAGTATAAAATTATTTGAATATTTTCATTTCATCAGCTCATTAAAGGATTGAAATAATACAAGCAGTTGAAGCTAAGTATTGTTTACTACAACAGATATCACATACAATAGACGATTATTTTATATTCATATTTATTCTCACAACCTATTCTAATAGATACGACTATATTAAAGAAAAACTTTACGTACACTCTACAACATAATTAATTTTAATTACAAAAGTTTATTTTCATAAATGAATTTCGATATAAAACAAAATGTTAAATAAAAATGGAACAGGGCAAGGAAATGTCGGATTTTCTTCACCAAAAACAAAAAAAAAAAGAATTTCAGCGTCTTAATGGTTTTAGCCATCATCAAAAATATTGATCAAGTCACTTACTTAGAGGCGATAAGTGAAACTAGGCAACGTTTTATTTGATAAAATTTAAATTACTTAACAATTGATTTATTCCTATATCACAGTCACTCTTCTTCAGACAACTAAATATTAAAATAATTGTTTTACTATCTCATTCTAATTGTCTAAATTCCTCTAATTTACTCTAAATACAATTTTCAACCACCTAGAGAGCTACACAAACAAAAAATATAATTTATCATAATATTATTTTCTTAGCTTAAGAATTACTATTTTTTTTCTTCATAATGTTTGAATCCTATTCATAAGGATCAACTATATTAAGGATGGTCAAACATCCATCTTGTGACACGATAGCTATTGCTTTTCCCCCGTGTGCGCTCGCCACTCCAGTGACTTCTGCGGGTGCTCTGTATTCAGCTATTGCTTTTCCATCGATGGTTCTGGAAATTTATAGAAAAAAGTTTATAAAGATTGATAATTTTCTTCAAATATTCCATTAAGAGATTTTTTACATAGAAAAACGATACGGCAAGTAGAGCCCACGTATGTTAGCGGATCATTATTAAAATTAAAACGAGACATTTCTTCATGTTTATCAAGAAATCGAAAAACTTCTTTGTGTTCATAAATATTCAAAACTAATTCTCATATTTTATAAAATAATATTAGAAAAGAACTGTTTATATTTAAAGCACATAAATTTTATTTCTAGTATCTTTATCGGTGTCCTAAACATAACTAGATCAAAATGTTCATTGGTCAGGCAAAAAATTGTTTTTTGTTTACCACTATATAATCCATATCTACTTTCCCAATAAAAATCATAATTTAACCAACCTGAAAACCCTCAAAGTTTTCCGTCCACTGTGATAATAGAATACGTATTGATCAGTTGAGCTAAACATTGTGATGATGGAAAAAACTCCCTCCGCGGCTCGTGAGATCAGTTGCTGGACCGAAGTCCCTCGCTTGAGTTCTATTAAGTCAAGACCGCCACGGGATGGAGCGCAGAGGCCCGTCTTACCGTCTCTTGTACATGCGCCATTCCAACGAGGAACGAATCTGAAAGTTTTAAATTAATCGTCACATTTCAAGTAATTTATACGTAAAATATGCACTCGTTATGTACTTCATTATGTTTATATTTTATTTTATTTGGATAACCAACAAAAGAAAACATTATTACATTATTTCATTTCGTTGTTAAACTATTTAATAACTTAAATGTCCTTTTAATTATAGGCTATCACATCATGCAAAATATAATAATTGTAGTAAATCAAGATTTAAATTAAAAAAACAATAATAATAAATTCAATAAAACATTACATAATAATCACTAACATTAACATGTTAAAAGTATACAATGTAGCCAGTAGCGTGATGAGGTTCTATTTTAGATTTCTCACAAAAAAAGACTGAGGCTTCACCTATGTTATACGTCTGTTTCGATAGAATTTCTAGTGAACTATAAGTGCTTCAGTTATAATTTGTTTTAAAATGAAGTTTATAAAATCCAAAAATTATCTTACCGAATATGTCGTTTCGTCTTAATGTCCAAGATGCCGGCTCTGTCGTTCCCAATAACAGCCAGCCAGTGTGGCTTATGAGGGAGAGCACACACACACACCATGTCCTTGATGCCGCTGTTCTTGATGGGAATTCTGATGCAACAAAAAAATATAGACAGATTAAAATTATAGAGCCGTAGTTTAACCTATATAAGGAAGAAGAATATTTATTTATTTTATTTATTTCGTAGGAAGCCAACATAATGTACAATGATCTTACAAAGTACACTACAATTACAGGCTAACTCAGCATGCATTCAAAAAATTTGTGTATATATATATACAGGGTGACTGGTGAATTACTATCAATATTTAAGGAGAATACTCGGTACATGATTCTCATTCGAATTATGTAAAAAAATAGGCACTTAATTTTTGACAAAATTTCCGTATAAATAAATAAAGTGTTGACACGTTCCAAGTGTTCCAAGTGTGGACGCGTGCGGCGGCGTGCTGATACAACACTACGCCGCCGCACGCGTATGTGTGAAGCTTATTAATATTTATGTTATATTAATTTTTATTTTGTCATATATGATCATCAAATATCACGTCCTCAAGTATCGATAGTAATTCACCAGTCACCCTGTATAACAAAGCAACGTAATCTCAACAAATGGTCAAAAAATAGAAAAATAAGGAAAAACTATTACATGCATAAAAATATCGTTATAAAACTTTGTAAATATAACATAAAAAATAAAACATATACTATATAAGTCGGATATAGGATGGCAATTTATGTCATCTTGTTCAGGCTTTAATGGTGCACATTGATCTTTTTATTTCATGAATACCTGTGTAATCGTGCTCCGGTTCTTGCGTGGAAGACGTGAAGACATTCCCTGTTGGATTTATCCATTCCAGGAGCTACAATATGGTGTTCATCTACTGACACTACTGCTGCTCTATACCCCGTGCCTCTTACATCATAATCCACTGTATAAATTTTTTCACCTTCTGCAAATTTAGAGTTATTTAGTAAGAGATAAGACTAATAAACCTAACATTCTCAGAATGTATAGTTGATTTATGAGATCGGATATGTGTAAGAAAAACATTTGTCAGAAGTAATAAGTAACAAAAGTTAACTGTACCAACCAGGCACTGTTCTTGAAATGATATGTGCGGTAGCCACATTGTCTATATTATCCGTTGGTACGATCATCGATATTGTTATAAATTTGGAACCATCTTCCAAAAGGAGGAGTTGCTTTACTCCTTTTTGTTCTTCTTTGAACAAAACCTATAAAAAAAGTAAAAAAACAATGCTTTGGACATTATTGTAGTAGAGTTAATTATGAAAAAATGTACCTGTCTTTCGGGAGTATCCCAAATAACAACATTTCCAGATTCAGCGGTGATAACATTTTCTCCGCTTGGGGTAATAACTGCGTGAGTTACTATAGCACCAAGAGGTGCGTCAGCCAGCTGACAGAGCAAACGACCTGTGCTAGTGTCCCAAAGACCCCAACAACTACGGGTTACGGTCACCGCCAAGAATTGATCACGCGCGAGACTGTAAACAAAGAATAAAAAAAGTTAATCTGAAAATAACTGTTATTGTACTATTGTTTGTCGTCATTTTGTATCATTATTATTGAATAAAATTAACAGAAATGACCTAATCGAATCAATTGGTAACTCCTGTCTATCAATCTTGTGGACTTGTTCAAATATATTATCAATGTTCCATATCTTCACGGTTCTGTCTATGGACGAGGTGATCACGTTGTTCCAAGTGCCAACTGTCAATGGTTCTAGTTGCACGATTCGTCCGAAGTGGGCGTCGAGGATTTTGATCAGTTTTGTCGTCTCCAAACTCCATACATATAAATTCTTTCTGTAATGATATAAACGTTCACAGTAAAAGCATTTTCGGAATAAATAAATGTTAAGAAAAGACTGGTTTATCAATACTAATATTATAAATTCGAAAGTAACTCTGTTACTCTTTCACGCCTAAACCACTGAACTGATTTCAATGAAATTTGCTACAGACATAGAGTTGACCTTGAGAAAGAACATAGGTTACTTTTTACCCCAGACTTTTGAAAGGTTCTCTTGGAAACTCGATATAACCGAATTCCACGCCGGCGAAGCTGCGGGCGGAAAGCTAGTTGGACATAATTATCAACTCAGTTCACTAGTACCTACCTGACTCCAGCCAATGCATATGTATTATTTTTGCTGATCATGAAAGAATTAGATAAAGTCATTTTAGTTGATATATTTCGTATTGTATGTGGGAGTTTTAAAACTATTCCTTCCAGCCTTAAGTCTTTTTCTGGTATATCAGTTTTTTCTTCCTGAAAGTTTGAATAAACACTGAAATTTTTAGCAAAAGAAAATATTTTAAGTATATTTAAAAGTGAGTTTCAAACCTCTTCTTCAGCCTTCTTATCCTCTGAATCATTCCCCCCGTCTGTGTGATTACCTCTCGGGATAACATTATTGAAGTCCCAAACTACAAAACTATATGTAGTTGTAGCTGAAAATAAGATTTATTAATACCTGTTATTGTTAATTGTTTGTGAGTATTGTGAAATATACAATGTTCTTTATACCGAGCAACATTCGGTCCTTCTTTCCTCTTTTCAACTGGAGCATCGCCTCCGCTGTGTCTGTTTCACTGTGGTGTAACTCCTCAACCTTCTCCCAACTTGATAGATCTTCATTTATTTCGTAAACTGAAATCTGACATTATATCATTATTAGTATATTCATCTTTAGCTCATTAGAAATAAATAAATGATTAGAATATCTTACTTGGTAACCTCTCTCTGGGTCACTAGTGTATAACTTTGTCCAATGCTTGTTCATTGTTAGAGCTCCTCTACATCTAAGCGGCTTCATCCACTGTCCATTCTTGCAGAAGTGCACCAGAAGTCGATCATCATCCAGATCTCCACTCCACATTACGAGAACTATATTTTCTAGATCTCTAAGATCCATTGCTTGAAGAAAAATGTAAATGGTATAATATCAAGAAATCTTTTGTTTTGTCATTGCCTTTTCCCATTGGTGTAAGGTTGAACTAAATGATTTTATTCGAATTTACTGACGCTTTTCCTATTTTTGTCTTTGAATTTCAAGACTTAAATATGTAGTTTGCCTTGATGGAATTGTATTTATACAAAAAATTACTATAAATTAAAAAAAATATATAACAATTATCTTGAAAGTATGTTTTTTTATTATTGTTTCATCAACTTACATAGTATCTCCCAATCAACGTCGTCATACGGCGTGTGAGGGGGCGCTGGCTGAGTCTCTTGTGGTTCTCCACGCATGGAGTAACGCACCCACGAGTGAGGCCCGTAGATAAACATATGGTGGTTTAATACGAACACACCGCGGACTGTTTCACCTGGAAGAATAATTAAACCTAATTAGTTTGTGTTTATTGTTGACTTTAAAGTTATCTGCTACCTCGCTAACTTGTATGTGGCAAGGGATGGGAGTATTTATGTGTGTATTTTGTGTGTGATCTTCTGTGTTGACTATTTGAATTTTCAATAAATATAGATATACAAGTATCAACCTACCTTCTTCCAATGGATTCATAATCGTGATGTATTCACTTGTCAGCATATTAAGAAGTATGGACTGAAAACAAAACATTTCTATAAAAAAATGTTATCTCAGGTTAAAATTTCTACTATTGGAAACAATATTTAATTACCACAGAATTATTTGTAGAAGCTGCAGCCCATTTGTTGTCTGGTGATAGTTCCAAGTTTTGCATAATTCCTTCCAATTGAGGGCAGAGGTCCCTAGCAAGATCTGAAGTAGATAGATCCCAGGATATTACTCTACTTGATATGGACACCACGTATCGTTTGTCTGAACTGAGACGAAATGCAAAAACAGCAAACTGATGTCCTTCTAAAGAATACTGTAAGAGAAATACTTAACATAAATCAAAGATAATATATACATATTAATAATACGATTATTATAATAATATATAGCCTATCAGTCAGCGGTGGCCTAGTGGTTAAAGGGCCCGCCTCTCGTGCACGAGGGCGCGGGTTCGATCCCAGCAAGTACCAATGTGATTTTTCCGAGTCATATGTATAATACTTTCTAAGAGTATTTAGACATCACTGACTCACGGTGAAGGAAAACATCGTGAGGAAACCTGAACTAATAATTTCACAATTATAAGTTTGAAATCACCAACCCGTCTTGAGCAATCGTGGTGATTAATGCTCAAACCTTCTCCATGTGAGAAGGAGGCCTTTGCTCAGCAGTGGGCTCTGATAGGCTGATGATGATAGCCTATCAACATTAAACGAGAAATATTAGGAATTATTTAGTATTTACCTTCAAAGGTCCACCAGGTGTATGTAAGCAATGATGTGACGGCAACAAGGCGCAGTGATTTTTGCCTTTATCATGACATTGCTGCAACAATGAAGACACTGCAGGATTTTGTTGCGCCTCGGGTAATAACCTGCCTACTAATTGCGGAGCCAACATGTCAGGATACGGACCCAAGATTGCACCTCCCAGGCGTAAGGCGTCAGCTACCAACATCAATTCTCTGGAAAAAAGGTATTGAGAAACAAAATATCAATATAAGGACGATTTAGGTCATAAAAACATACTTACAGTCGTAACTTTAATATAATAACATCATAATAGCTTACCTAACAGCATCCTTTACTACATGCTGCTTGGCGTCTTCAAAGTCAGCAAGAACGGCTTGTAGTGGACAGCAGTGTAACTTCGCGTGCAGCCACTCATAGTTGAATAAAACTTCTGCGTACAAGTCCGTGAATCGTTTGGAGCGAACCAGGTGGAAGGGCAGCTCACCAAACTAGTATAGAACTAATAGTTTGAATCGAATTTACATAAGAAGTTTAAAAGGATTTTTGACCTTTGACCTACTGATTTATCAAGCGACTTACTTATTTCAGACCTTAGCAGTAATAGAGTAGTAGTTCCTTACTACTAATTTTATAGAGATTAATATTATTTAGTATTGTTTTGATACCTTCCGTAAATTATATCTTTTAGATGAACCATCAGCAGATGTAAAGACCAGAGGTTGTAGCGGTACTTTCCTATCAGCCACACCTTCCCTATCTGCGAGATTAAATCGATGCCGCTGAATTTCTGTATACTTAAAAGGTTTTGGATTACCACCGCCCCAAATACCTGGAAAATAAATAATTAAATCAGTATAACCCTGGATAGACTTTGATTGTGACAGTGGTGGCCTAGTGTTTAAAAGGCCCGTCACGCATGCTTGAGGGCGGGGGTTCGATCCTGGCCCGGGCAAGTACCAATGTGATTTTTCCAAATCATATGTACTTTCTAAGAGTATTTAGACATCACTGATTAATGCTAATTCCCAAAGATGGTTGATGTCAGGCAGGCGGCCGGTCATAAAAACAATTAGCCAAAACTATTCACACAACTAAGGCAGACTCTGGCTAAAGCTGGGAAATTGCTAGGTAGAAGAAACTTTGATTGTGACAAAAATATTTTTGTCACACGTTTACCAGTTTTACTTACCCAAATAGTAGTCAGCAATCATAGAATGAAAATACATGGCCATGTTCATGTTCTTGAAGTATCTTTCTCGAGCTGTGTCTCTGAACTGTCGGTGATACCAGTTCATGACAGACACACCGTCCGCCTCGCGTTCAGACAGATAGTTGGGCAGATCATTACGAATCCTGGACATTTGTAATTAATAAAAACAACAAATTATAGGCAACATAAGCTTTGTTAATTTCTATGTATTAACAAATAAATAAACATCGCTGAGGCGACATTTTTAATAAGATAAAACGAGTGAGACCGCTGACTCCGCGGAACAAACACCAAGTCGTGTGAACCAGAAGATTCCTGATACACACAAGCTATGGAATGATATTGCTATCCTAACATCGGGGATCATGTAGTCTTAAGTATAGGTTATGAGTTTTAATATGTAATTTTTATCATATAAGAATTTTTCGTAGTTTTTCTGGAACCTCTATATAACTAGCCTATAAATGCTATTTCCTATAAAATATAAACTCTGTTGATTTCTTTAATAAATTACCTAAAGCGTGATAATACCTGGTCCACAATAAAGGAGGAATTCTCCTAACTGGCGGTAAATGGTACTGATACACATCATCCAGAACTTTATCGTCAAGTGATATGAGATCTTCAAGCTCTGTTTCTGATAGACCACTCCTTGCAGCCGTGATGTAGGCAAGAGCATGGAAAACCAACAATCGACCGTGCTAGAAAAATTAAAAACTTTTAAAATTAATTTCACTGAAATCAAATCTCAGTTAATTTGCATAGATGTAAAAGTATGTGTTTCGTTATTTCACCAATTTTTGTTCAAAAGGATTGCTCCAATCTAACGTTTTCTTAAGTGAAAATGTAAGGTAAATCTAAAAATACTATTTGACTGACTGTTCCTCAAATCTCGGCCTTCATTAAATTTAAGTTTAATCTTCATTAATATACCTGCTTCTCAATCCTCTCAAAAAGCATCATAATTGAATCCATAACTGTTGACGCTAAGTGAGTGTCCTGTGGCTTAGTGTAGCTTCTCCAACGACAAACCTGTAATAATTTGTTTGAAAATTATTAAATACAATTTGCTCTATAAACTATTCAATAAAATAGTGTCAATAGAAAGTTAAGAGTTTGAATGATAAATTAAAAGATATTTAAAATCGTGTCATACCTCAGCAAATACTAATTTTACAAAGATTGGCAAGGAACACTGTCCAATAGCATTGGAAACTAAACGCCACTGGTAGTTGCTTAAATCCCTCGCAGCGGCAGCCATCCAGAGTCTAGAAAGAAAGATAGAATAATTGAGTTTTTTTCTTAAATATATGTTTTTCATTCTAGTAAGACGTATATATCATACATATCTGAGATCTTTTTATATTTATTAACTTGTTAGTATATCTGTTACAATGTTTTTTCAGTCACTTACTTCAAAACCTGCATCGCCAGGTCTTCACCCAAAGCCTTCACTTCTAAAAAGTTTTCTTCAGAGTCAATCATCCTACGGAGAACATCATATTCTTTGGAAACTTCAGGGTTAGCTTCTTCACAAGCACAAGTGACTATAATCTGAAAACAGGACATAGTTCTCCTTATTTTTCATTTTTCTATAAGTAATAAAAACGGTTTACTCAATATTATTGTGAATAATAGTGTCTTAGACGAAAATAATGACTATTTTCTTCACAAATTCAGAATTTGAAAAGGAAATATGAAGATGGGAATCAAAATTATAACTTAAATTAATTATTTTTCATTTTAATTTAGGTGATTACAGTTGTTAGGGCGAGCTAGAAATTTTACAGGTTGAAACCCGATATCTTATTTTCTTTTTCTTTATCCCTACTTAATATTTTAAATACGAAAGTAACTCTGTCTGTCTGTTACGCTTTCACACCTAAACCACTGAACTGATTTTAATGAAATTTGGTACAGATATAGAGTTGACCTTGAGAAAGAATATAGGAAAGTTTTTATCCCAGACTTTTGAAAGGTTCTCTTGGTAACGCGACATAACCGCACTCCACGCGGGCGGAAAGCTAGTATATCATAAATATGGGTATCTCCATGTAACAGACATAAGATTTTTCTCCACTAAGGCTTAGCTAACATTATCATAATCTGATGATAATTTACCTTACAATTAGGCGGTAGTCTGGTGGGTAGCCATGATACTTTATTGTTCTCAGTGCCGATACCAGTAAGCTGATCAACTGAATCTAGAAACAGCAGTAATGGCTGCTGTTGTGTTGCGATAGTGAGGAGCTGTTTGAAATGAGCTGTCAGTGGAACTAAGTCGTCCGGTATACTTTCGAAGGGTAGCGCGAAATTGTATGATATCTGTTAAACAATTTGAATGTATTAGAATTAACCTGCACTCTTAACGTCATCGAAAAACTAAAATCGTAAATAAAAGCAATGATCGTCACCAATACGAGCTTAGAATATTTGTTTTTACTATGCTTGGTTTTCTGTTATAAATTAATCAATAATTAATGCATGGATTTGAATATAACTTTCTGCTTACTTATACATTCATCCATCCATTGAAAGCAAAAACAATTATTTCATCTAACGTTTTATCATTATAAAAAATTAGGATATTTGAATCTAAAGTGTCATAGCTTTGTATAAAAACAATTGCGTGAGATAAAACTATGAAGATAATAATTAATTTACAACATTATGATGTAAAAATTTTATATACTTTGTATACTTTTATGTTTTTGACTCTCAGCTAGTAGCTAGTAGCTAGTAGCTGGTAGCTAGTAGCTAGCTGTAACATTTCATGATAAATCAAAAGGGAGAAACGGGAAAATATACATATTTAGATTTACTGACGAAGTGACCAAAAGTTAAAAAATATATTATATTAATTGATCATATCAATTTATTATCACAACAGGGAATTATTGGTTTTATTGCGTAAAATAGTTAGATATACTGTGTCGTAGTGTAATATTTTTCAAAATGCATTTTGGAAAAGAGGAGTTCAAAGAAAATATAACGATTTAAATGTAACAAAGTGAACCTTTAATAGTTCCTTTTTCATTTTTCAAAAATTTTCAAACAAAAAAATAGAACCAAAATACATGTTTAAATGTTTAGTTTATTTATAAAAATCGTTAGAATCGTTGAATTAAATCTATTTAAATGATAAAAGCTCGGCGTACCTGTTGACAGATAGATATCAGCGTAGGTGTTAGGGCGCTGGAGTCAGGAGTAGTTCCAAGGAACCTGATGATGTTTGTAGGACGAACTTCAGCAAACCAATCGTCCAAAGACATAGCTGAACTCTTCGCTAGCAAGCTCGTCTTACCGCAACCACCTATAATTAATGTAATAAAAATATTATTATTATTATTATTTAAAACAACTATATTAAAAAAAGTAGGCATTAATGATTAAAATAGTCATAAGCATTAAAAAATCGGTTGAAGACAGCCAAATATGTGTGTAGAAGATTTTTAAGCAAACATTTTTTTAATAAAAAGAAATCGATGACGGTAGATTACAAATAACAAAACCAACTGACAGAAATTCAAATCTCGTCTGTACAGCAACCGATCACGGTTGCTGAAAAGTAACCAAAATACCGAGATTATGTAGTTTTTAAAATAATAAAATACGCGTAGAAGGTAATCGGAATAATATTAGTTAAATTCCAAAAAATTACGTCTCTTAAAGAAATATACAAAAAAATAATCTTTGTGTTCTGCAAAATGTACATACTATATATGTAATGTGTAAAATAACGACTAGTTTTGAGAAATATATTAAATATTTTCAATACAAAGTAAGTTAAAATATATATATCATAATATAAACATAATAATTATGTTAAGTGATCATCATTACTGCCAGTGAGAGGAGTGCCAGTCAACGACGTGTTGATTGTATAATCGATACTTTCTTAATGTACTCGATTGGTTTGTCAAGTATAAGTGTGTTTAGGGCTCGTACGTCTATTGAGAGTTAATTACAGGAGGAAAATTAAGTTCATAATGAATGTTATGAAACTATAAACATATAACTGTCAAGAAAACAAAATATTAGAGATTTATCGATGCTATTTTAAAGGACTTTGAGTATTTAATAATTTTCAAAGTGTTTGTAGGTATTTAAATGGAATATTATTATCAATTTTCTTTCTGGATAAAAATATATTGTCATAGTAACAAGTACTGCTTTAAATAAAGTTAAGTTAAAGTATTTAATACCCACGACTTAACACAGGCTCACATAAAACTCTTAAACCCACCTTCTCCATAGAGGACCAAGGGTTTGTCTGAGTTATTCGTCATGTAGTTCTGTATAAAGTTGAGATCATCCTCCCGTCCGTGGAACACTTTCACTGAATTGTTACAAGCGTGTAGATGCTGAAGGATCTCTGTCACGATCTGACCTTGGGCACTGCTGTCTTCTTTGCGCATAGCCCTTGAAAAGAATTTATATCTACTTAAAAACTAGTATCTTTCAGATTTACTACGAGATGACATCTCGTCTGTCCATAATCACGGTTGCTGCAAAGTAACCGAAACATCGGGAGTACGTTGTTAAAAATATAAACGCTATTAAATCCGAAACACATTAGTTTTATTACAACGAATACGCGCAAAAATTTTAGAAGTCATTAACTGGTTACTACCCTACATTCTATCATCAGCTAGGTTTTTGTTGTTTCAATAACCTAAATTTTCTTAATTATCGTATATTTTGATCATGCTTGGCCAAATAGCCATCCTCCCATTTGAGGGTAAATAGAAATATCGCTCACTATGTTAGGTATCACAGTAAAATCTTTTCTCTCTTTCCTTAAAGACTTAAAAATTATGACTGGGTGGGATAACCGTTTCATACAAGCTGTTAAAATCCTTTGCTATATGAGAAAAGAAGTTTTGTATTTCTTTTTCCTTAACTAACGAAGATCACTACGAAACGATTGAGATTTTGGCTGTCACATGATTATTGCAATTATATCAGACCATAAGATTGTTTTGATAAAAAATGCCTTATTACTACGTATATTATACTGCATTTAAATTTCAATAAAACATATCAAACATCATACATAATGATAATTTTCTCGTGTATTGCGTAAAACATAATTATTTTATGACTCAATAAATGAATGTTTTATTTTCATACGACCATTCTATAGAGTCTAGACCCTTGTTTCGTAAGCCACTCACCTATCAACAAGTTTGATGATGTTCTTATAGAAGTGTGATATAAAATGATTAAGATATTCTCCGTGTGTCTCATTGTCGAGGCCGTCCCGACCGATCCACTCCACCGTATATCTGTTACAAACATAACCGGTACAATATACATATTGATTACAATGTGTAATACTTTATTGTGTTAGTCAGGATCGTTAATATATATGTATAAATGATTTATTATACTATTAATAGATTAATCCATAAATTCGTAATATCCACATATACATAAAATATACTCATCCCTACTAATATTATAAATACGAAAGTAACTCTTTCTGTCTGTATGTTACGCTGTCACGCCTAAACTACTGAACTGATTTTAATGAAATTTGGTACAGAAATGTAGTTGACCTTGAGAAAGAACATAGAATAGTTTTTATCCCAGACTTTTGAAAGGTTCTCTTGGAAACGCGATATAACTAAACTCCACGCGGGCGAAGCTGCGGGCGGAAAGCAAGTATCTCTATAAATAGATTAATCCATAAATTCATAACATCCACACATACATAAACTATACACACTCATATATACATATATATACAGGCACATATGTTAAGATCACATTAATTCTATTCTTACGCCAAATGGTTTTAATTACGATTAAAAAGGATAAAAGTTATATGTTATAAATAAGAAATATATACATAATAATTAATCTAAAGTTGTTACTAACTTCTGTATGTTAGTTGTTTCAATTTTTTCTGGTAATCTAACGTCCCTGAGATCTGCTAATAACTTCGACGCCTCCGTGTCCAAGCTTCTGTTTAGAATGTCAACGAAATTACACGCTTTCTTGAGATTCTGTAGATTGATGTTGTTTATGTATCTGACGTAGGCCAGACAGTGGTTCTTCGTGTTCTTAACGTTTAGGACACCGTTGATAACCTCTCGTTCAGTTACTGAAAAACAAATACATTTAATGTAATAGCATGTGCAATTAAAACAAAGTTGAATATTTTATATGCAATGCTATTTGGACCTTATAAGTTAAAGCAACAAACGGCAGTGGAATGGTCAAAAGATTCTTAAACAGACGTCTAAAAAGATTAAAAATCTCTCGAGGAAATGTATAATTAATTATTAATTTATGTTTATTTAAACTAGTTTTATTTATTATTCTTGCTTTCACTATAAAAGTAGATATGAGAAATGTGAATCTAATAAGCATTTAAAACGATAAAACTATTCTTCTTAAAAAGTTATGTTCAATTTCTTAGTTAGTATTCCTTTGTATTGAGCACATGTGAAAGAACACTCGAAGTTTCATACGCCACTAATTACAAAAAATATTATTCATGATAAATATAATATTTACCGGACATAAAGTAGTTGTGCATTGTATCTTTGTCTATTTTACCAGCGTTGTAAAGCTGGGAGGAAGCTTTACGAAACAGTTTCTGCATTTTACTGAGAGTATCCCACCAAATAGCTTGATCCTCTGCTTGCAACTTTGGGACTCTCTGGAAAATATTAAAAGAAAAATAGACTCTAAATGACATAGAAGGAATGTTTAACGCTAATGACGCAATTCATGACGCAGTAATTCCAATGCCTAGAGATTTTAAATTATAATATTAATTCATTAAAGCGACTCGGAATCGCAATATAACATTCAAAGACAATTAGTGATCGACTAACAATACTTGCACGAACTTGATCAATTTACTCCAATAACCAAGTTCGGTTCTTTGTTAACTTTGATTTAAACTTCTTCTTGTGAAGTTTTAAAACAACTTCATTTAATCGTCCACTGAACGGTTGATTTATTAAACAAGCCAGTGAAATGTGGAGAAATGTTTTCCTTTGTATTTTTATAGTCGGTAATATTTTATTAATGGGGTTGAGATATGCAATAACTTTTCTGATTGTTTTTGATTAAAACAAATTTAAAAATATTTTACAAGTTTTACTGTAATATTATGAGTGTATATATGATGGTTTTTTAAATATTTATATGATGTTAAGTAGCACAAGACCGAAGACGGACAAAATATATAAAAACAGTGAAAATATAATACTTTTTTTTATACATATTTGGATACTTTTTCAGATTCTCGGAAGATAATAACATTTATTTCATTAATGATATTACATAGTTTTAGATATTCAATAGCAAAAAAATTTTTATAATACACATATCAAATTACCTTATTATTGAAATTGATAAGGATGGAAGATATCGGCTGTAGTACGGACACAGGTGGTACAGCGTTGGAGTCTTTCTTGTACCAGGTGTCCAGAACAAGGACATCTACTCCACCAGCTGCCAGCTCATCACGTAACATCTGGAGCTCCGAGGATAAAACGTAGGTTGGTATTGGTCTGAAAGTGACATTCACTACCCGGTTAAAGGAATTATATGAGATCTGAGATTTTCGCAAGTATTCACTTAAGTGAAACTAATATTTTTCAGATGTACTACGCGTATTTTGTTTTTATCAAAAACAACGTACTCCCGACGTTTTGGTTACTTTACAATAACGGGCAGACGAGATGTGAGTGTCTGTCAGTCGGTCTTGTTATTTTATCTCCTACCGCCATCGATTTCTTAATTGTCTTGCGTACCGCTCTGGATGCCGGCAAAATGCGCTCACGGTGTCTCGAGGTCCTGCGGTGTGGTCACGGACATGGGATTTTATATTTTTAACAAGAGGATCAAGAGTAACATTCCTTTACAACAAGCGGGTGAATACAAACTTGATTGTGACTGTGGCTTGTCATACATTGGAAAGATAAAGAGAAGCATCGGTACAAGGGTAAAGGAACATATTTCAGACGTCAGGAATAGGCGCGCGTCGAAGTCAGCAGTGTGCGAACATGCATTGGACAAACCAGGCCATTACATTAGATTTGATAAACCACAAATCCTCGCTCGTGAAGACAGATATATACCAAGGTTAATCCGCGAGGCGATTGAAAATAAAAAAAACACCCCAACTTCAATAGAGAAGATGGCTGGAACCTATTAAACACCTGGAATCCTCTTCTTAAAAATATAAAATCCCATGTCCGTGACCACACCACAGGACCTCGAGACACCGTGAGCGCATTCTGACGGCATCATGAGCGGTACGCTAGAAGATTAAGAAATCGATGGCAGTAGGAGATAAAATAACAAGACCGACTGACAGACACTCACATCTCGTCTGCCCCTTATTGTAAAGTAACCGAAACGTCGGGAGTATGTAGTTTTCGATAAAAAAAATCGTGTAATACATCGGAAAAATATTAGTTTCATTTAAAGGAATTATAATATGTCATCGGCCTATCAGAGCCCACTGCTGAGCAAAGGCCTCTTCTCACATGGAGAAGGTTTGAGCATTAATCACCACGCTTGCTCAAGACGGATTGGTGAATTATAGTACACCCTTTTAATTTAGCAAATAATTCTTCCCATCGCTGATAAAATAGTACTTTCTTAAAAATTATTTAACTGGATCTCTTAAAGGACTCTATTTAAGCAATTGTCTCTGTGTTAGTCTTTCTTTTTAACATTATAGATTGTTTAATAGAATATAGTACTGATAGCATTATGTATCAATCGAATCACTCTCACAAATAAACAACAATCACACATTTAAAAATTCTTATACAGTCCATTTGATTTATTTCATTTTTAGTGCGAATAAAGTAATCAAACAGAAAGCACGTATTGCATTTTTGATCACCATCAAACACAAAAACACCTTATATCAATACATAGATAAATAAACAAACTTTGACTTTAAAATTTATTGTGCCAAAGTGCAATTAGATATACATATAATATCATATTGATATCACACCTGTAGCCATATTTCTGTCCGAGAAATACAACAAAGTTAGGTCCCATTGACAGACGCTGGCAATTCTTTATTTCTCTCATACACAGCTCCGTCGTCATATGATCGTCTGTAGCTTCGTCACGGACACCCCATCTCATGTCCACCACCTTGAAGATCATCATCATCACCACCATCATCATCATTTTAATCATCATCATCATCATCATCATCATCATCATCATCAACTCATTAGAGCCCACTGCTGAGCAAAAGCCTCTTCTCACATGGAGAAGATTTGAACATATTGAATAAAATTAAAAATCTCTACAGGCATGTTATAAGATTTAAGGTGTTAAAAGTTTGCTTGAAATAAACACCTTCTTTTTGCTTTCTCTTTTATTGGGTTTAAGATTTTAAAAAAATATTATAATTAATAGTAAAAAACAAGTGTCGGAGATTGAAATTTTAACAAAAATATTATCGTTTGGTTAAAAGTAACACCATTTTATTCTTTGTATATTATTAACAATACCCTTATCTAGACCCAACCAACATATAAAAATATGTTTTTGTACACTAGATTATATAATACATACGTCTGTACAATTCAGCCAATAAAATGAGGAATATTTTCATACATTTCGATACATGGAAATCATATTTATAGATGTATTTATAGTTTTGATTTAGCTTAGCTATTAACGTGCTCTTGGAAAAAGCATGAGCGGCTGCGGCAGGACTATTTCTGTCAACGGAAGCTTAGCCACGTGTTATATCAAACTGACTGTTTAAAACATCTATTGTTGGTTATGTAACATACTGAATTTATCAGATGAACTATGGTTATGAAGAAAACATCCCCGTGTATGTTAAATATTATGATAAATTATATATATTCAAATGTTTTCAAACAAGTAATTTCTTCGAATGTAATTAGCGTTATATTTCAGATAGATTAACAATTTGGTCTATAGAAATGCTTTTATGTCCTGTTTACACTTCAGAATAACTTGTTTTATATAAAACTACGGATTTCGACAATAGAGTTGCTAAATTGGTTCACATAATGAGATCTAAGATTTTCGCGAGTATTCATTTAAATGAAACTAATATTTTTCAGATGTATTACATACGCGATTTTTATTTTTGATTATAAACTACATACTTACAATAATATAAAACTTAAATACATGTGTATAAAAACAAAAACCAATGTTTTTAAGACTCTCATGTTTTTCCTGATATTTCTCGAACTTTTATGTTTTTCCTGATATTTCTCGAACTTTTCAGTCAGTAATTATGAGTAAACGAGATGAAAATGTCCATTAGTTAGCCTAATTTTATGTCATCTACCGTATTTTTTTTGCCTACTCCTGTAAATGCAAACAAAACGGTCTAATTGTGTCCTGGTATTGTAATTACAGACGTGGTTTTTTTTGAGTGAGATTTCAGGTGTAAGACTAATGCTAACCACCTTTTCTACTGAAATTTGGAATTTTTTCATTATCCTTGCGGATATACCTGTCTTCAAAGTTTGGATCTGTGGTTTGTCAAACCGGATGAAATGCTTGGGATGACTAGTGTGCTTTCAGACACAATTGACTAACACATTTTAGTGTTCAAAGTTTGTTCCTATTATATATGACAAGTCATATGAGAAAATTCAGTTTTTTAAATCGTTATATAACACAAAAATAACGTGCGACATCCATTTTTAATTATAGTTTTCAAAAAGATGCATATATTATGTTTTATAACGGTTAGTAATATGATTTAAATAAACTGTAAGGGATTGATTGAATTCGATTCTGAAAACGCCTCTTTGTTCTATAAAAACTTCCTTTGCATTTCTTTGAAAGCGTCTTTCGTTTATCAGATGATTATGACGAGAACAAGTCAAAGACTGTTAAGGGGCAGTCTAAGTCTTATTTTTATTATATGCATTTAATAAATTTATATTTTATTTGATAACAAATTAATAATACAGCATTGTAATCTAATGTCTGAAAAAATATTAATACTGATTTAATATATATTTAATGGTGAATTTTATTGAATATTTAACGTACGTTTGTTTATATAATAAATAAAAGAAGAGTAGAAGGTTTCGCAATACGGTTAGTAATAAAAACATGTCTTCGCCTTAACGTAAACGAAGGATTTATCCACTGGAAGGCGAAAGATATAAATTTTCATAGTAGCTTGAGAAAATAATCAGTCCGCTTCAAGGAAATATATATTTTTATAAATAACCAATATTTTATAATATATTTCTTAATATTTTTCTAATATATATGATATTTTTGAATTATCGTTGTTTGGTTTAGTCATTTTGCTGTTTTCGTCTTCTTTAAGTTATGTTTCAAATGCGATTATCTTGATTTTACCAATAAGTTTAAAACAATTTCGAAGGCACCATAATAATGATGTATCCTTCAGGTAAGTATTAACCTTACCTGTGCGTGATTTAAACGGTATAACATAATCCTTTACCTGAAACTCCAATCCGTGTTTCTCCCGGCAATAATCCTTTATTCGAGGGTAGCATTTTGCCATTAAAGTATTCCTCTCCATCGTTGTATCTGAGGACATAAAAGGATGACATATATATGGACTTTCTGTTATAAATAATGACCGAGTAACAGTTCTTTTGAAATTATAACATAGGTTTATGATAAAAAAATAAACGTAAGATATTTTGATTCTTGAATTAAATTTAAAGTAGCTTTCAAATTAAAATAAATAAATCAGGATTTAATATTTAATTTTTCGATATACATAAAATAACATAAAGAATAATTCACACGAATTTTAACTCTGAAATGACTTAGTTAATGACGCGAAACTTAACTAAACGCCTGCCCCTATCGATCTGTTTAAAGGCCGCGTTGAAGTTACATTGTAAAAAGTTGCTTCTACATAATCTACGATTTCTTGTCACGCAATAATGTTCTGACCTCGAGGTTTGCCAAGTGTTTATTTATATAATACAACACTGAAGAAAGCTATATAACAAATTGTATATTTTAACACTTATACATACATAGATAATTGAAATGATTATTTTACAAAGAATCTGCAATCACAAAGATCATTCTAATAGGTAAATTTCAAACCTTAACAAAGATTAATGAACATTAACTATCGTATAATCTTCTATTGTATATTAATGTAACATATTTGAGATTAAAAGTTATTTTTTGATAGCATAACTTTTAAACGTAAACCAAATATACCATCGTCAGTTACAGTAATTAGTTGGTAATGAAAACATTAAATATTAACGAGCCTGCAGGTGGCTGGTGAACGATTTGCTTTATAACACAGATATCCTAACATTTCCAATATTTAAGCCACGGTTATAAATCATAATGTTTGTGCTAGTGTCCACTCCAGGTGTAATGAGAATAGCCGCAGCTAAATTCATGATTTTGTTACCTGTTTGAAATTGTAACTGAATATCTCTTTGATATAAACAGAGTCTAAATATTTGTACCTAAATATTTTTTGGCACTTAGTTCGTCCTTGGTATTTCATATTCTTTTTGGTACGATAAAAGATGTGTTCGTCGTTATCACAATTGATTGACAAATTAAGAGAGACAAGCAATCATAATTTAATAGTTTCCATAAGTTTAATTAAAAATAAAATACCTGTAAATGTAGAACTGGTGAATATCCTCACGATCTTGGAGCTGACCGGAGGAAGAAGTTTCAAAGAACCAGCAAATATGAGATCAACTGTCCTATCATCCATTTTTGAAGTTTTCTGTGAATAATACTGCATTAGTATGAAATACCAAACAAAACTATTATCTAGAATAGTTTGGTGTAATGAGATAACATTTTTTATATATATCTTAGGTTATTTTAAAAATATTATATGTAGACTTTCTATATTACAAAATCAAACAGAAAGTATCAAAAGCTAGCTTATATCCCGTAACTCTGTCCTCATTAACATTGATAATGCAATTTTATACAAAACATTATCTGTCCTCCAAAATGTGCGATAATTCTAATGACTTTCCAGTCTGATGAATATATAACACAGAATTTATCAGAATAATCTGATAATAGACGAGTTACACAGAAATAGACTTATAGGAATTAAAACAGTAATGGTACTTATTTTCCAATTATTTGGTTAAAAATACACAAAGTGGCTACTAATTTATTACATATGAATTTGTTATTATGTATATGCAAATAAATATATAACAATTTTGCATGTTCGAATAAATTTTACGATTTTTCTGCAAATTATCGAAATAACTTTAAACAAATGACTTAAAAAAATGTTACCTGCCTTGAGCAAAACCTAACAAAAAACTTAGTCATATATTTAAATAAGAATTAATCAGTTATTAAAAAGTATATGTTTATTTTTAAATAACCTACACAGTTTATAAAATAGAATATTTTTGTTTTACAATAAAATTTGAGCAAAATTCAAAGGACGGTATGTAAGTGATTCTACTATTTGTTCAGATTTAACAAAATCAACTTCTAAATCCACCGAATCAGTCATGATGTCATAGAAACTTAAACTTTAATTGCTAACCCAAAAGCACAAGAATATATGTGAAGTGTGACAGAGACAAAATATATATAACAAAACAAAGATCTTAAAGTGCGATAGAGACGAAAAATAAATTTAACAAAACAAAGACGCTACTTGCCCTACTTCTGCCACCCTCAAATCAATACTGCAAGTTAATGTCAAGGTAAAACAAATTATCACTATTATAATCGATTTTTACCTTAAATCCGGGTACGTGTTACCTCTGCCGGTATGTACTAGATACTGTTTGCTATTCAGACAACAAGTCAAAGTCAAAATTGTTATTCGTTGCCAAGCAACAGCTGATTTCAGCCTATATCTGTCATTTCATAAATTTACTAGTTTTTGGTATAACAAAATGTTTGTGATATTTAAAAAAAATATTAAAACTAAGTCATTCAGGATAAAATCTATTAATACCATGATAGTCTTTATATTGTTACTTTCATACAACTAACTGCTGCTGTTTATTTGAAATTATAATTAATTTCTCTTAATTTATTCAGCAAAAGCTAAATGTTATATGAAATGGTAATACGAGATACAATGAATATTAGTTTTATATAAATGTCTATTAAAGTTATTTTTTATTATATAACCCATATATTACTTTAAACGTTTTCACTAATGAACAGATATTAATACATTTAACTGTAAAATGTCATTATAATTTTATTCGTATGTAGTTAGGAAGTAATATAGAATAAAGTTATAAGATGTTTTGTTTTCTTTGACTCGTTTTTAAAGCGAAATGTAGTCATTGTTTGTAAAAGGATTAAATTAAAGAAGAAACTTATCAACAGGAAGCTCAAACTATTAATATTAGAGTCGCTATGATACTTTCGAAATCCATACAAGTATCCTCGATACTGGCTCATGTAGTTTATTCCATAGCTTGTATTATGTATCTGCCAGCCCGACTTTAAATGTGTCAGATCCTTGAAGTCAAAGGATTGACACATTTCCTCCACGAGCGTGACACAAAAGATTACGAAGGATATATTAAGTTGCAATTGCTTTTTTTAAAATCTAAAGTGATAGAGGTTCTCAATATTTTTCAATTTTATTCTTTTCTATTCTTTCCTAAAACTTCATGTAATAGAACATATATAATTAGAGTTTTGGAAACTCAGATAATATTTTAAGGCAACGGAAACCATGGATAAATTCCCTTTTATGCGTTATAGAAAATAAAATATTATAATTTTATCATAGTTTTCGTGGTCTAACTTATATTTTATGAAGATATTTTTAAATCACTTTAGTTTTTGTCTATACTAGTGATATTTCAGACACAGGCTGGCACCATTTCGATTATATAAGCCTTCATTAAACAGCCATTCTGCAAACTATTTTACATGATTCCGATTTGTGGTTTTCGTATTTTTCAAACAACTGAAATGGAACATATATATGTTCTATTTTAAATATTCCTTTGTTAGTTTTTTTTATGTTTAAAAAGCAATTTCATTAATCAAAAACATATATTTTTTTTATTTGCAACGCTGAAAAATAAAGTGGATTTTTTAAAATTATACCGAAGGTCTGAAATTGTCATATTATGTGGTCATAAAAATACGAAGTTAACTACTTTGAATTTACGACGGAGTAAGTTTAAGAACAAAAACAACATATAAGGTAATAAATTTTGAGTTTTTTATTTTTATATCAATATTTTCTTTACACTAAGGAGTAGAACAGTTGTGTTGAAATATACTGAATACTTTTATGTTCCTATCCATCAATGTTTAAAGGTTTCCCTCTGGTGCTAAGACGGACGGGATAACATCGTTTCTCTTACAAACTTGCGAGTTTTCTAATGAAAATTAGTTTCACTAAACAAAAATATATAATATGCTAACAATGCACAAATTTTATTTGATTTGAGTCATGTTTTATTGCACGAACACATTAATTCCTGTGCGACAATAAAGGCATGAAAAGCAATCCATTAGCAACAGTGTATGCAGGCCGCACCTTACTGCGTCCGTGGGGCGTTGTCTTGGTATGGTGAAATTCATAAGAGTTAGCGGGAGCGGAAATAATGTAGAATTAGAATTTTACGTAAATATTGTTTAGTGGATGCATAAAAACTGGAAATATGCAATAAAACATAAAATAAGAGAATATATTAAATAATATTTTAATAAATTTAAATGGCAAAAAATCTTCGATTCATTTACGTACATATATAATATATATGACATGCTCGTTAGTAAAATACATATATTAACATATTTTAAGTAAATACATCGCTATAGTTACACCCCTATTTATTATTCAAATTGGTTTCTGTGTAATCTTATTTTTCATAGCTTTAAATTTTCTTCTATAGTCTCAAATATTTTCTACAATTTAAAGGATTTTCCTCATTAAATGTTCTATCGTAGAAGATCAGGACTGTGATCTCATCTTCTTTTAGTTACATTTTCTTTTTAAGCCTATCGACCCGATTACGGTTATTTTGTCGTTTAACTGACAAGTTCTGTTAGTGATCAAATAGTATTTTAACTTTTCAAAGGGAACTTTAATAGGGAGTTCCTTACTTTATACTTTATTTATTTAGCATAGCTTAAAAATAAAAAAATAGTATAAAAATAGACGACATTTTTAGACAGAGTGAAAGTAAAGATTTGAGTAATAAAAATATACATAAATATAAAAACATAATTCGGTTCGAAATTAACAAAAAATTGCTCACAACTTTTTCTATTTGTTCACTCTGGTCAATATTTATACTCGTATTATATTTTCATATACTCTCAATAAATAATTCCCTTTCTATATTTGACTTTTTCCAGTTTTTACGTATTATTTTAAAGTACTTATATATGTATATTTTTATTTTTTAAGTCATATATGAAAACAAATATAATCGGTCACTTTTTATTATGATAGATACATTATTAAATGTTATTCTTTTTCTGTGGTACACAAAAAAAAAACATATTACGTGGTACATGTTTCTGATAGAAAATAGATCATTTAATTAAAGCTGTCCTTGAATTAATAAAAATAATGGCTCCATTAATAGATACCAATAAAAGTATTGAGAGGCTTATCCATAAATGTTCATTTACTATCTTACTGATAAAAATTACTGAAAGACACCTACGTACATAGTATGGTGTAATTTTGATTATGATTAAATGGAAGCGATACTTACCATTAAACTACAGTTGCATTTAAAATTTCCGAAAATCAAATAGACTTCTTATTAACCTAGATTTTTTATTTACTATCATCATCATCAGCCTATCAGAGCCCACTGCTGAGCAAATACCTCTTCACACATGGACAAGGTTATGGAGTATTAATCACCACGCTTAGTGAAGACGGGTTGGTGATATACAACTTATATTTTTAAATTATAAGTAAATGTTTCCTCCCGATTTTTTCCTTCATCTGTCAGTTGTGTCTAAATACTCTTAGCTTATAATAAACGCTGTATATTATATTTTGCGCCAACCGCAGCGGAAACGAATCTATTTTTGTATCGATTCCTACCTGCTTTTCCACGATTAGAGCGAGTTACAACTGAGTTCCGGCGGCAACACCCACAAACTATATCAGCTAACTTACAGCTAACAGTAAAAACTAAAATATAACTTACATTGTCTAGCCCTAGGGCCGGGTACGCTCTCTAAACACATCGTTATGTTATTTAAAACAAAACTATTAAAAATAACTGTACTTTTGCATTGATTTAACTTCAAACGGACACTGAAAGATATTTCATTAAATAAGGAAAATAAAAAAATTATAATATTTACGAAAACGACTACATACATATTTTTTTTTAATATTTCAAAAGTGATCATTGAAAAGATAAAAAGTAGTCATATCATTACATATCTTTTATCTTAAAAGATTCTTTACATAAAATGTATTTAGGATTCCGTGACTTTTCAAAGACAGGTCATAAAACTAAAACAGCATTTTGGTAATATCACTAAGTTACATCCTCAAGTTTCTCATAACATATAATATTTCTATAAACTGTCCAAGTTCTTGCAGGCTGTTTCTTGTGGTGCTAACGTAAATTACGTTCACGAGACTCTTTAATACCGTAATTGGTTCATATAACGTAAAGAGCTTGTACGTCATGAACGGTAAGTATTAAATGTAGTTAACTAAGTTAGTATAAATTGATACATAAAGGAACACGTTAAAATTGGAAACTGACACTTTGA